GAAAACGTAACGTATTGCACCCGAAAAAAACTTAAAAAGTCGCCATTTACCCCATAATATTATTAACCAGATTCCGGCTTTGAGAAATTATAATTAATGTCACGTGATTCAAATAATTTCTATATTGGCGACATTTTTAATTAAAATGTACAATGAAAATGCAAGCTTTGACGACATATTTTTGCTTGACAGTTTTCCAAATTTGTTCCTTTAATTCATAACACACCCAATCATAGATGAACACGGACAATTTCCTCGAAAATAAAATTGTCGTTATCGGACCCTAACCTGCATTCAAGCGATGGCAGCAGAATACAAGAAAGTACTATATGATATACAGCGACAAGGCGAAAACAAAGTAAGAATAAACATTTTATACGACACAGTATTCTCATGTTGTCCTCATGTCCTCTCTTCCCTATTACTTACTTGACAACTAGCAATAATAGTGTTAATAATAAGCGTTATTTCTTTTTTTTCTTTATCCCTCTAAAACCTTCAATTCACACCTGAAATCTCGCTTGTCTTTTATGCAATACTTGTAAATATAGCAATGTGTAGACTGTGATGCGCCAAATCCTCAGTGGGCATCTGTCTCTTTTGGTATTTTCATATGTCTTGAGTGTTCGGGTGTACATCGCTCATTCGGAGTACATATCAGGTAAAGTATGTGGATGTCATTATTGCCAAAGAATAGACGAACAATATACACACCAGTTAAAGATTTCAGTAAACTGCTCTCAAATATTGATTAACTATTTTAACGGTTAACAGCTTGCATATTTATCTTAGCTATTGATATCTTTATACTATATACCATTTCGTTTTTACTGACTCGATTTTTTCGGGATCGTCTAGTTTTGTCCGCTCAATCACAATGGACAAATGGTATGATGATCAAATAAAGAAGATGCAAGTAAGAATTAATTTCAGTTTATAATTATCCATAACACTCGCATTGTCATGCATACTTACGTGTATGTCTAATTCATTTGCAGTTAGGAGGCAATGGAGAATGGAAACAATTTTATGAATCGCATCCAGAATACTCTCGTGATATGTCTTTAAAGGACAAGTACCACAGTGCGTTTGCAACTGAATATCGAGAGAAGGTAATCGATAATCATCTCAGAATATAAACGCACGTCTCTCTCTTATTCGCATTCTTTCATTATTTTACCTTGTTTATAATACTACACTTTTTCTATTTCAATCAATTTAATCACACACTTACCAATAAATCTTTAATCCTGTAACAAAGCTAGCAGCAAAATGTGAAGGTCGAAGCTGGTCGCCATCATCTACAACAACCCGCCAATCAACGCGCACAAACACGTCAAATAAATCCCTACGACCCACGGCGGTTCACTCGAACTCTTTCCATGCATCGAACCCCAATGGTTTTAAAAGCGAATCTTCTCTCCCACTATCCTCATCTTCTCAAAAAACTCAAAATGAAGCCTACTTTTCTTCCCTTGGTGCCGCGAATTTGTCTCGATCCGATGCCATTCCACCTAGTCAGGGCGGGAAATACACGGGATTTGGAAACCCTGCTTTCAGCTATTCAGCATCTGCTTCTACCTCTGCTCCTGATTTGAATGAATTCGTAAATGATCCCATGGGCGTTTTGTCAAAGGGATTTAGTTTCCTAAGTCATCAAGTTGTGGAAGGTGCAAAAATTGCTGCACAAAGTGCCGAGACGTTAGGATATACAGTGAATGAAAAAGTCATTAAACCCACGGCGGATAAGGTTAGGGAAGGTGAAGTATCGAAGAGTGTGGCCGGATATATGGCTGGACTTGGAAAGACGGTATGATGATTTTTTGATTATTTATAAGCGGGGGGGGGGGGGGTAGTTGACTGTTAGTATTATTCTTCATTATGCAAGCGCTATTAAAATTATGTATCCGCCATATTTAACTAACATTATCCTATCACTTGTAAATTTTTAAAAAGGTAACCGAGACTGCAACCCGTTCGATCTCGTCTCTATCCTCGACGCTTTCCAATACCAGTTCGTCTTCCACACAACCTTCACAAACCCAATCCATCTATTCCTCACTTCCCACGTCTCCCAGCGCTGATGGTGACTTTTTTGCTGAAACAATGAACCATTATCAGCAAAGAAACTCTCCAGCACCCAGTAGGAGTTCTACCCTATTGTCGAAGAATAATACATTGAGACCAGCGTCTTCGAAGGTTGAAGGTTCAGAAACCACCACTAGAAGGAGGGAAAAGAAAGACGATTGGAACGATGATGAGTGGAGTTCTTGGTAGCAAATCGGGGAATACGAAATGTTATGGAGAGGACTTGAAGTTGAATGAACATAGAAGCAAGATTGGAAACATTATTATAGATTTATTTTTTTCAGTTAATGTTTATTTTATTATTTTACATGTATCCACTTGAGTAATCAATAATCGCCTGTATTAGGGCGCCTATATTGTTTTGGCTAGATATAGATGACAAATAGAATACGCCTCCAAACAATAAATTTCAATAATAACTGCTGAACCTTTGACTGGCATCTATAAGAGTTTCCGACAATTTGTATAGTATCAAACCATGTGATACGCCTTGACCAACGCGATAAAATGTACAAACGAATTCGTTATACTCTTTATATTTATGGTCATAAATTGATGAAAAACAAGCCCGTTTTATAGTCTATGCGGTTAGCAGAATCACATATTTAATAAATTATTCTACAATTTGCTCAATTCTTCCCATTCACCTTATATTATTCGTCAGCCTTTATACTACCTACGTTCATAAATAATTACGTTAAGCAACAGTTTTATTTTGTCGGTAGGTCACGAAAAAGGTCGGATCTTTTTTTTTATACCGGAAACTCTCATAGTATACAAAAAACACCTTTCTATACACATTACATATTATTCCCTTAATATTATCTTATTTACGAGAGGTAGGCTTTGCCTAATATTATTAATATGTCTCTGTTTTTGGCACCAAGAATCTATTAACATTTAGGTATAGGTGTGTTTAGGTTATACGCACAGTTCCAAATCTAGGCGCATCAATTGTGTAGTATGTATGACTCACTCTATACGCGGATGCAAGCAAACGCCGCAGAATGCTTTATTCTCAGTGGTTGTTACACGATATGGCTTAGTACTGTTTTCTCCTGTTGCTATTGGCTAAACCAAAGATATCGGTGGGTCTGTTTTAATTTGTGATTGTGCTTACAATCTTCATTGCCCATCCTTACACCATGCTGTCTGCAATAGCCATATTTGAAATTCCGGAAAATGAAGCCTGCCTAATAACCGGAGATAATGAATCTCGCTTGCGGAAAATAGAGTAATTGATTTTGCCGTTTATGTTATTGATGAGAATAATGTGTTCACAGACATTGTTTGCCATCTTCGATTATATCACAATTGTCTCTAATCTTCATTCCTTTCCTGTCTTTCTCCATTCTCTCCATCCAGAATTGATACAGGTACAATAATGTCTATTAACTCCACGTGCACCAAGTTGACGATACAAGGAACGGAATACAATGTACGTCAACACATAATGAATTAATTAATATATTTTCAGAATTAATGCTCTCTAGACGTCACCTGTATCCGGAGCTAGGGATTACCTTACTTGAAGCTCGTAAGGGGACTAGAATTTGGTTTGATCGATATGTAGGAAGGGATATGAACGCGCATTCGCGTGGAATGCCTTTGTATGAATTAAAAATGGAGGCCGGCAACGTAGAAAAGCCGAATATATCAAAGACAAAAATAATAACGTCTGATGCAGGGGGAGAAAGTGATACTTCCGATTCGATGGGAAGGGCTGATGTACAGCCGGGATCGTTCATCAACCCCCGTAACAGTTCCTTAAATACACATTATTCCTCGTTCTCTTCATCATCTTCATCTTCATCTTCATCTTCATCTTCTTCATCATCATCTTCATACTCTTCCTCTTCATTACCTCTTGATTCTCGCCAAACCTTACCGATTCCGACTCGTACAAATCCGTTCGCGACAACTCAAAATCTTCCGCAAGTGCTTTCTATGATCAAAGCTCATATTTCAACAATCTACCCTACTTCCGAACGAGATCAAGAAATCCATATAACAGCCTATTTTGGTAAAGAGCTCTTTTTCAATATACCGAATGAATGTCAAGGGGATTTCTTTACTTACGACGATTGGCGTTCAGTCAAGAGGGATGGCGACGAGGGAATGAGGAGTAGTTATCAGCATAGTTGTAACTTATTTGAAGGATATGGAAAGATTGAAAGAATGGACTTGGATTTTATGAGGAGTAATGGAATGAGGATGAGACACGGGTACGACATAAACGAAAACAGTTTAAGTGTCACCATTTATTTCCGAGATGAAGGTGACGAATGGAAGGTCAAACTGAAGTATGATGATAAAGAAGGTTGGTTAAAATTCGAGATAACTCTTGATGTGATTATCAGTTCATTGTGTTTTGTATTATCGTTTTATTTACCACCTCGTTTTTTGTGAAAAACAAAATTTCAAATCAATAAACCTAGCCCGCTGGAAACCCACCAAACTCGTTCGCTCACTCAGGCGCGTCATTCTTCTTGACATTATCTCGGCAACCGGTGCTCCTGATGTTCGCTTTACGGTAAAAACCCAAAAGCGCGTTCCGATTAGTGAAAAAATCGATAATATTATCAAAGAAGTTCAACAAGACAAGAATAAAGAATCACGTGGATCCGCTGAATCCAGTGAAAGTAGCGCAGATGCGCGCGGAGAGGACAAATATCAAAGTGGCAGGATGAGAATAGTAAATAATCATGACGGTGGAAACCCGCATTTTACTTTGGAGGACGAGAAAGGGAAAAGGGGACAGAGACAGTTGACATTCTCTATAGAGGATTTCAAGGGTAAACTATCCGTAACTAGAATTGAGGAAATTCTGACCAAGCAAAAATTTTCGTGAGTACAAAACGCGATTTGCATTGTGGATTGACGTATTAAATAACATCAGATGACTAATTTCATCCTCGGTTCATGCGCAGCACTGACACCTACCGCTTATTACTCTGCCGAACTTTATACTCTGCTGTGACCGGCCACATTTCTCAAAATCTCAATGTCAAAATGAAACATTACAAATGGGTTGATCTCAAATGTCCGCAAGAATCCAGTACTGACGATGATAGCGACGACGACGACGCGGATAAGCGACGTACGGAAAATCTACAGAGGAAGGTTCATGCGCTCACGAGAAGTATAGAAGATGGTGTGATGTTTGCGCGGGTCCTATGTAAGAAAATTGCAAAACTTTAGAACAGGCTCAAGCGGGTTCGGGGTGTATATGCAATATGACACAAAGTGGCTGTTGAAGCCACTACCACCTGTTCTTCAGGATTTATATTCACAAGTGTTAACAAGGAAATATAGTTATATGTGCGAATAATGTCGTCATGATTTAGGTATTAGGGGCTTAGAGTAGAAATAACAAATTGTAAATTACTCTATCCAGGTGTGAGAAGTTATCAATAAACAAGAAAATATTGATTAAATTTGACTAAATGTCCATATGTCTGTGATAATAACAAACGCCTAAGCGTATGTCGATTCGATTAAACATAACGATTCGTGGATGGTAACCTTAAAATGAGGATATTATCGCTAGCCCGATACTAATGTCACTTAATCGCTTAATTACCTTGAGCTTCAGCTTGCATTTACAAAGTTTATATTAACAGACCATCGAATCATTGTGAATGACCAATTGTTACCGAGGAAGCCAAGAACGTAACAGGGCCGGTTCAATCGATCAGAATACTTTATTGAGAATCTTCGAACATCCCTTAAATGCTGATATACAAAAAGCAAATTGAATTAATGTCTTTAAATTACTGAGCGAACATTTCAGCACTGAATTGCCAGTCTCACTCGTATCCAAAAGTATTTCGGTAAATGTGCTGCTATCAATTCCATCTAGAATGTTATTAATAATGTAGACGATACAATTCTACGTAGCTAAATAGTTGATGAAACATCTATTGATGATAAAAATTCGGATATAATTCTTTTATTCGGATGTCGCAAGAATAAAGAGATTAAAGGTAATAACACGAAACCGCGTATTGAATAAACTTGGCTTATTTAGTTATCTTTATTTTTCTTAATTACCTATTGTTTTAGTTAACATATAGCTTCCTATAATTGCATGCAAGTAAGGTATAGCATTGTATAAAAATTAAGAGCGCCAGCAGGGTTGAAGTGAGCACTAACTGAGGAAGAACATTAACACGTCAGTCGAAAAAAAGTTCAAACACTCATGTGTCGTGCCCCATCGCTCTCCCTGATATGCCGGTACGACATAAGTCCATCATATTGACCACCAGAAATGCAGGAGAATAGATCAGAGATCCTGCCACACAAGCTGGTAATAAGAAAAGAAATAAGCAAATCCACCAAGGAGACTGTCTTCGGAGTACTATAATCCCTTAAGCGCTTTCCTTTTTAAGGTACAATACTTTATCAATTCGAATCGCAAATATTTCATTGGCCAAAATCAGTATCATGTGATTGTGCTTTTTTCACGCGTCTCGGGTAACTGTTCATCGACAGCAACTTTTCATCTAACGGCATGGTTAAAGTGTTTTGTATTTTTTTGTTTTACTTCCGCTTTCAGAAAGTTTTCTGTCAACAATCGCGGGAGAGCAATTGATCGTCAACTCTTGGGATTTAACTATCTTTCAGGCTTCTCCTACTTTAATTAAATACAATAACAGTTAGTAACCTTTAAGCTAGTCTTTTAATCACAATCCTGTGCCGATTGGTAGACACTAACCGAGACACTATTCGTCCTCGAGTTACTATTCCCTTCCGATGGGATTAATTCGAAAGCCTATAGCTTGTATATATTCAAACGTATGTCTCATCATAAGCGGATAACAATCGTAATGCCACGAGAATATCCACCAGACAAGAAGCGAATATTCCTAGTCGGCATAGTAATTAGTGGTTTACAACTACATCGAATAATTTATTAGAGAACGAATCCTTGATAATGTATTTCAGAGTGTAACAAACTACTCGTTTATTTCAACATCAATTAAACATTTAAGGATATGATTAATTCTATTGGAAAGTCGAGTCTCTTATATATCTAACTTGTTGACTTTCTCTATTTTTATCGTACGCGCTGTTATCCACTTTCCTCAAATTTAGTTACTGATTGCGATTGTACTATTGTCACTTTTGATACTAAATGACAACGCGTAATCAAAATCCTTGTGGCACTGCTGGAGTTACGCAAAATTTAATATTAATATTAGTCTCCACATTTCGCTCAATTCTCAAATATGTCTATTTGTATTTCTACTTTGAATTACACCCGTTTAGAGTGTCTTACTTAGGATGCTTATGACAAGAATACGAGTAAAATAATAACATAATAGCTTTCAAAATTAGTTTATAATTTACTAACTTTTTTAAGTTATGGGTAATTTTTGTAGAATCTATTAAAATTTCTTACTTTAAATTGCCACTTATTTTTAAGAGCAAAATTTACGATTTGTGAGTACTTGGTAGTCTGCTAACTTCTGATTTTAATTTATACTGAGTACGTTGGTATAATTTCCCATTCTGCTTCAACATTATACTATGCATCGGACCAGAACTTACGTTTGCAAAGAAATCACTATACGTATTATTATTATATTAGTATGTTTGGGACCTGTCTCAGTTCAGAACCTAGTCACTCAGTCCAGAACTCAGTTGTCTCGGTCCAACTGAGGTACAACAGGTATTAGAAATCTAACTATCGACGTAGCAACTTGTGGGATGATAAGTATAAGTGGGAAAGCTAATAATTGTTCACGTTATCTGTCCCAGTTATGAAAGTAGGATCGCCAAATATATTATTATAGTCTATTACAAAAAGAGTATTCGCGTGCTTGTATTGATTTCCCCCGCGGCAGGGCATAAAGTCATTTCTAGAAAGCCAAAAATGAAGCAGATAGAAATAGTCGGTTGAACTTATACTTACTATCGCATAATTCTTAATATTAATCACTTATTCGGATGTCACCTGATTAATAGAATAAAGCGAATAAATTTAATCTATTAATCGATGTCTATAGCTATTACCAATTGTTTTAATTTAGCATACCTCCTACGAATTGCACGCGATCAAGACTTTTATAGACTAATGCTAAATAATAAGAGTGCTGTAAGATCGAACATTTACCGCTGGTATACCTTATCACGGAGGAAGTGAATTAACTCAGTCTTTGAATAGAAGCTAATTCTCAAGTTTCCTATATCACTGCTCTCCCAGACGACATATTCTATGCTAGTGCAAAAAAATCTGTTTATTGGTTTGCTATTACTTTCGACAAATTTATATAACGTAAATACTGTAAATGTTCATATGCGAAACTTTATTAAAAAGAAGTAAAATTATAATGCTTATGGTGATTGGATCAGGAAAAGGCATCACAATTGGCACGATTATAAACGGGACTATTTACAGCAGCCAGTACCCTGGCCAGCTTTCTGACCGTTCGGATCCAGATCAAGTCTATTGCGAGGCTGTGGATCCTGAGAATGATTGTCAATGAGTCTTTTCTTGATGTCCCTATTATGTAATATCATAACATTAGTCGCGAATAACATGACAGCAGAAAAATCTCGACCTGGTTAAAAGCAGACGCCAAGACTCCCGTTCATCATAGCTTACCTGGCCAAAGTGAAGAATGCTTCCTCGACATTAGTATTAGCTTTGGCACTAGTCTCCAAAAACTTGATACCAAACTCGTCAGCAAGTAATTGTCCCTGTTCTTTAGCGATAACCTATATAAACAGATACTATGTGAGTATGCGAAAGCGGATTAAAAGTAGAAAGGAGTATTGAAGCGAAATATCTAGTTACTGACTGACCTTCTTCTCGAGCCAGTCACACTTGTTTCCAATGAGAATCTTATTCACTCCTTCGCTTGCATGTTGCTCTATGTTGGAGAACCAGTTCCTTATGTCTGTAATCAGAATAACGTTGATTAAGGATACATTGGCAAAAACTATGTGATGCTCCAGCTCGAACAGAGCTTGCATGACGGTGTTTTTAAATCATACTCACTTCCAGCAAATACGCTGGGTGTGACAAAAGGATACTGTTAAACGAACGTTCATCTGTGACATCATAGACCAGAAGTATTCCCATAGCACCACGATAATAAGCTATACATATGGTCATATTAAACATCGCGATGAGTAAAAAAACAACAATGATCACACAGAACAGATCAAACCAAGTTAGCACGTTCATGACCAATTCACGTTCAATAATTACCGGTTGTAATTGTGCGGAACCGTTCTTGACCCGCAGTATCCCAAATTTGCAGTTTGATACGTTTGCCATCCAACTCGATCGTCCGAATTTTAAAGTCGATTCCGATTGTAGTAATAAAAGACGGAGTGAAAGAGTCGTCTGAGAAACGGAGCAACAGACAGCTTTTGCCAACACCTGCGAATGTTGAAAGAAAAACGTCATGTTAACAGCGTCCGAATGGTTTGGCAGTTGTGATTATAATGCACACGGGGATGACTAATGGAAGAAATTCGGTTGACTATCGATAGCGTTATGTTAAACGCAGGCTCTGGGATCTTCGGCGAAGCCGTTGTAAGCGCAGCAATGTTATATAACTAGTAGCAATGGCCAACATACCTGAATCACCAATCAACAATAGCTTTATGAGATAATCATAAGCGGCACTCTTGCTTGTCGTCATTTCGATAGTATTTGTAGCGTAACAGTGATTAAGCTATTGGTTTATATATTCTGTCTATGCGTCTAACGATGATGACTCTTTTGTAGGAGAGAATCGACCCGGGTAAATTAAGCGGTTTCAGACAGCTCATCTTGCGTAAATTTGTAGCAAACGCTAATACTTACTATTAATTAAGTAAGAATGTCAACTATTACACTACGCCGTTTGAAGATTGGAAACCCAGGAATCGTCGCTTACTAAATAAGTTGTAGAGAAGGAAGCAGTGTCAGGAGAAGGGGGGTGAGGGTTGTGTTGGTTGTTGGGTTGGTTTGCATTCTTCTTGGGATCACACAGAGTGGGCGGAATTACGTCATGTGAGTGGTGTATGAAAGTTAATAATGTTATTAGAAAGAATATATATCCGCCACAATAGGTGTATAATGTTGCCGATTATGAAGGGGAGGGGGTTGGTGAGAACGTTTCACGGTCTGCTAATCTGAGGATAACGTTCGAGTGTCACAATAAACGGCATACTGTAATCAGACCATTCGCATAACGTTTATGTTGCTGTGCCAGAACAAGAAAGTATAATAAACGTTCTAAACAAACTGAATAATCGTACGATCACTTTTAGAACAGCGTTAGTTCGACAAAGCTGGTGTATTCCCGAAATCGACTTCCTAATTAATTGATCTTTCAAAAATATCGCAATTTGTTACTCTTCTGATTACGTAATAACTAAACAACTCGCAGCTTTTAGGTTAAACGAAATTCGTAATAATAACAACAACAATAATAACGTTTGCACATTCTCTCAAACTAACTAGAGATGGGATGCACAACAATTGCAAAGGAGTCGATCGAATACTAAGGCAACCATCAATGACTAGTCTCTGGAAACATTTAAGTGCGATGCCTATTTGGTAGAAATAGTTTGGGAAGACAAACTTTATCTTACAAAAGCGCAATTTTTAAAACGCGTAATAGAATGTGCACGCTCTATCCTTACGCGACACCCGATATATTACGTATTTATTGTAATTTGTAATTTGTTCGTAAGTTAATCGTCTAAAAATGCTGACTCTTTTTGAATACTAGGTATGCTCATGTGTTACCAACGCCTGTATAAAAGCAACGCCATCAAGAAGAAAATCATTTTTCTCTGACAACCATGTAAATGTTAGAAACGCTCAGAATTGTATATGCAGGACACCACTCGGATTCCAAAAAAGAGATGAGCAGTCAATAAACCGTCAGTGAAGCTTTCTATGCTAACAAGAACAAAAAATTTGTGCTATATTACTGTAATCATGTCAAATGATAAACCGATCCTGATGGAAACTAGCGATGCAGTATCGTTTTAAAGATTATTCCTCAATTCTTGTATAATGATGAATAAATAATACCAGTTGTCTTACGACGATTTAAAGTAGTAGCGGCTTCAAAAAATTATTGGGTCCATGATTATCTATTTTCGCTGTCTGTGACTGCTCCAAAGTTAAGAACATTGCTAATATCTAATTGTATTGGAATTGTGACTTATGTTATCGGCATTACATGTCAGAAACAAATTAATTATTTTACAAGTGAAAGGAATCTTATTCTGGACAGAAATATGACTGAATTATTGGGAGAGGCTTTACATGTCAATCGGAACGAGTCTTTCTATCGAATGTCTTAATTCCGGCTGGTAACTTTATTCACAAATATAGCATCCGATCCGTGTAATGGGGACATATTCGTAAGAAATATGCACTTTTAACGCTTATTCCGTATGACAATGAAGTTATTTCGAAGCCTAATGATGGACGTTGTTAATACTTGAAGTGTGGCGGGCTAACGCTTGCTTTTGGGTTAATTCTATCATACACTTTCATCGAAGAACACCTACTATTGTAGTATATACCCTACCCTTATTGGATCTAATCGTAGAGGGGAATTGGTTGTTTTATTTATAAGACAGATCGTCTTATTATACCAGTTGAAACCCCGCATGCGAATAAAATTTCATCGTAATTTTACAATACATAGGTCTATAAATCCGATTATCTTATTTAATAGAAATATATCCGACAATTAAAAGCCTAGGCGATTACCGTTTCAATACTCGTGAAAACAGATTTACAAGTTTTACAAGCGGAAGATAACGCAATCCGTTAAAGTTACGCGGTCCTGTTAAAAATCCAGCTTCGTGTTGTTTTAGGAGATGATCCGATGCAGAGGGTGATGAGTGCAGCAATGCCAAGCTAAAACATGGGAAACAATTACATGTTAAAACAAACTCGCTTATTCAACGCCATTTGACTTGCGTCGTCATCACCCCCGTCCCTCACCAACCTCGAGTACTCTCGCGTAATCGATTTTCCATTCAACTTCCTCGCAGTTCTAGCATTAGTCTTCGTCCGTTGTCCCCTAACTGGATATCCCATAACGTGTCTCTTACCAATGTATGTCCCGATCTGTCTATGATGTAGGATATTAGCCTTAACCACTCTTTTCAATTCCGACTCCAATGTCATTTGAGACAATAGTAAGGCTAGCCTATTGAGTTGTGGTTCGGTGAGTTCGCTCAGACGACATGTCTTGTGAATAGATATTTTGCTGCAGATTTGCTCAGCAGTTTTCAGACCAATGCCATAGAAATATGTTAGGGCTATCTGTGGAGAGTAAGGTACGAATTAGCATAGTGTGAGAAGGAGAATGAGAAGAAAATAAGGTTTAGCAAATACTTTGACATATTTATTATCAGGTAATGTGACACCAAGTAGTTGCATAGCTTGCTGTCTTTTGCGCGCTAAAAGCCTAAGCGCATATCCAACATATGCTATAAAATTTTCCAAGTCACATGATTTTAAACGTTGTACGATCTCGCATTATTGTCTTTGACAAGAAGGTTTGATTTTACAGAATAATCGTATATTACAAAACATCATATCTAACCCGACGCTATTGATAGAATAAAGTCTGAAAGAACAGTTATACATCTCCGCAGGACCTATCTATCGAATATATTGGGGTTTGCCTCTCTTGTATGTTATGAAATTTTTTTTTCTCAAACGATATAATAAAAACTCGATATCGAACAGCTAAAATATATATGGAATCAGAATGCCACAAAGTGCTTTGAAAAAGAACGGCTTGTTATTATAATTCTATTGTCTCGTGTTCATCTTGTAGATTGTGACCTCGGGTCCTAAGACCAACGAATTCCAAGATGAAAAGCATGGACCAAATTTAATATTATAAACATTTCTAAATTGGTCTTCAACCCAGCATTCACGTGAGTAACAATGCTAAAAGCTGTGTAAAAAGAAAGGAACCAAATACGCACACGTTTACATCACGCGATATCTAATATAGTCACGTGACGGAGATGTTGATAGATTTTAATATACAATAAATTTATTTTGAGCTCACGCACAAAACAAAACATTGTTCCGACGCGCATGTCAAATGTTTTTTCGTTCTTGTTGTTGACAGTTTACTCCGGAAGCATCAATAGGGATGACAAGTCGTCATATAAATGCTCGCGTTAAGAAAAGGTCAATAATGGAAGGAACGACTAAAGGTACCGTGAAGTTTATGACTTTGAATTAATGGATGTAAATGACATTCGGGATTACTAAGACGTTCTGTTTGACTGTCGTCGGTTTTCTCTTGCCTGACTGCTTATATTTATGACAAGGAGTGTCAACAGCATTACGAACATATCACCCATTCTACGACAGTGAGAATCCATTTCTCAGTGCTGACTCGCCATTACGATTACGAAAGTCCAAAGATAAACTTAGTGACAACGAGTCTGACGGTGATGACGATTGGGTCAATGAGAATGATGCTGCTAACAAAGGTATCAGACAGATGCTTGTCTATAACTAGTTAACTTGTTTGATGATACAGATTCCAAATCAATTCATAACAGAAAACACGACCCCGCGCGCACGAAGAATAGTAGCAACACCAACAGTATTACCATCTCCCTATATTCAAAATGATACAACGACGCCACCATTACCACCATTCGGTACGCCTGTAAAAGGTATTAACACGCCCGTGCAGGATGTTGATACGCCTGTAAAACGTATTAGCGTGCCTATTCAAGACATTAATACTCCCGCACAAGGCATTAGTAAGACACCTACACAGGATATGACTGCATCTGCCCAGGATGTGACCACACCTATACGGAATGTAACCAAGCGCACACAGGATGTGACTACACCTGTGCAGGATATGACGACGCCCGTACAGGATATGAAGACACCTGTACAGGATATGAAGACGCCTGTACAAAGAATCTACACACCTGTACGTGGTATTAATTCACCTTTACAAGGTATCACTACTGCACAGAACTTTTACTTCTCCCTCGTCTACAGTTTTACCCACGCATACATTTACCCTTTGCTCTTGTTCTGCTTCAAACCGCTTTTATTCTGACCAGCTGTACGTCAAGTTACACCGTCTCGCTCATCAACTTCCTCACCAAGAAGAAAGCAGATACGTTCTACTTCGAGACGAATGCGAGTAAGAAGAGTGCAGCGGGTTAATCCAGCGGTTTATGACGTGAAAGAGCCGTGGTATATTAAAGCTGGATCAAGATTGTCGACTTATACAAAAGATGCAGTGTGCATATTAAAGCATACATGCAATGTCGTGTGGATGAGGTGAGTTGGGAATCAGACATAGAAAGTAATCGCATAGTAAGAGGCGCAGATATTATGGCTAAAAGTTGACCGCTGGCTATCCTTTTCGCGTGATAACATAACTCTTGGTTGTTCTTATTGTAGGATGACATGGAGATCGTTTCTGTTGGTTATGTCGTTCATAATATTATATGACGCTATGTCTAAAGTGTGGGATTATGATGAGAGAAGTATGCTATTAGCATTACGCGCCTGTTTATTAGTAGATTTAAGAACACTTGACAAGAAAACAATGTATTATTTTGTAGATTTTCAGCGAGAAGTGAGCATATGCCAAAGAGAATTGGACGCACTACACTGTGACAGAGCATCAATGTTACCACGTGTTGAGAAAATTTGTCAGGAAGCCAGAAAATATCCTTTAATATTCTTTATTTATAATACAAACATGGTTTATTCCTTGACTGTTTATCACATGTGTAGAAGCAAAAAAACAGTTATCTATTCTGGAAACTTTTGGTGTGGCTATGATACACTTCATAAAACTGGCTCATGATGTGCAACCCGGAGAATCAATGGCATTTAAGGCAGAGTATTATTTTTATCTGGATACTTGCATGCGTGTTATTAATGACAAGTTTAGCATCAAACTAACATAATCTGTCTCACTTTCATTCTTAAAGGTCATTGGTGCCTATGTATTTATCATCTGCTTTCTTATGTTCCTAGTCATAAAGTACATATTTGGACCAGCATATTCTCTGCCACAACCACTGCCACAACCACAACCACAATATCTCTTCCTATCTACAAACGCACCTTCATCAATGTCTCCTCAGTTCAGCACAATGTCTGTACCAGTGTCTCCTCATTTCAACTCTATAGAATATCCGCCTCCTACAAACTTTTTCAATGGATGATGGGCAAAAATGTATGATATTTACTTCTTTGATTCTCTCGTCATAGTCAATAAATGATGTGGCAGAGTATTCTGAGAATTTCTGCTGTCACTTAACTTTGTATATGAATTGCCCTTCAGAATGACCACTTAGATTTATTAGTTTATACATTTTTTGGACATTGGACCCAAACTATCTATTCAAAATTAGAACTTGAGATGGGAGACATCTGAACCACTGAAACTTTGCTGATCTATTAAAAACTGTCTGATTGTCAAAAAGCACCAATTTCAAATATGTTCATTTAAAAAGAATACTTGGCTGTGTCGAGCAACAATCGCGGAAGAGCAATCGATCGCCGACCTTGGGATTAAAGTTATTTTCAAACGGAGCTTGTGGCTACTATTTTAGTTAAATCGAGGTAGTGACCTACATCGGTAGACACTTATCCGAGGACGGTTATTCCTCGAGTTAATCGATTCCGATGGGACTAATTTAGAAGCCTATAGGTTGGGGCTTATACTTACCCATATTTATCTAAATGCATTTCCACTTAAGCAAATAACAACACGAGAATATTATCAGAAAACGAATCATTTCAAAGTATAAAGAACAAATCGTCTATTTGAAGATAATTATAATAATAAAGGGATCGAATGTGAAACACACTGAATCTAACAGAAAGTCGTGCTTCGTATATAATGTCAATTTTTCCTAACCATAAACGAGTGGATTATTTACACTTTCGATAAATATATATGTGTCAATCGGAGAACACGAAAATAGACCGGATATAATTGACTAAATGTGAAACTCTATTAAATTGACTCCTCCTCCGCTTTTACCGCTAAAGGCAATCAGGCGCTGCTGAAATAAGCTAAGATAGACAATTGAGAATACATAGTAACCGAAGTGGGTCGGGAACATTAACATAGTGGGAAATGCTAAGAAATTCGTAAATTTGGTTTATCGGGGTAAATTTAATATAGAGGTTTTAGAACTTACCTTCGGTTTAGCGGGGTTTTACTTAGTCCTTCGGTTTATCCATCTTCGGTTTAACGGGAGCCACTTGTATATGGAAACATCGTCAGAAAGAATGTTAAGAGATGTTGACCTGGATAATAACAGTTATATTCCATTACATGGCGTCTCAAATTTATTCTATTACACGTAATTTTCAAATAACTGAAATGCTTTTGTAGTAAATTTACTTGTTAATGTTACTATAATTATTTATAATCACTACAATCTTGAGGAAAATGCAATGCCATTGTATTTTATACAAAAAATAAATAATCGTAGAGATTGAGTATGTTTACTCTGTTCTTGATCATAGCTTTGGTCTTCCTGCTAACAGACTTTATTCGCGAAACTTTGATTAATTACCGCAACATCCATCCAAAATATAATTGTCTGTCTATTACTATTGATATTATTACTGAAATAAATTAGGGATACGATACAGTCATTATGATATGCAGCTGCAAAATCTGAAAGCCTTCGCGTCATTGACGATGCTTCGATTATGCTGAGCCGGTTACCAATTTTAGCTTATATTTAACAAATACACACTGTTACAATATGCTGTTACCATCAATGCTACTTTTAAATAAACGCTAGGGGGAATGTTTGCTTGTTGTCTAGATAACATGGAGCAGAGAATACAAGCAGTCGTAAAAAAAATTATGTTTAGCCATAAAAACAATGTGCGTGAATATAAAAATATATAACAGAGAAACGCTTGATACTCTAACAGCAGTGTATGCTTATATTCTTTAGCATCCGATTCCCCGTTATTATTAATATTATTATTCTTACGTGAATCATAACCTCCCATTTGAAATCTTTGGTGTCTTGACGCTGGAATGATTATTATGACGTAAAAGTTGTACATAAATAGCAATTCATAATACTTATTTTTTTATGAGGCGCATATTAATATTAATATCATCACTTTATTTCGATAGATCTGCTGCTGCATGTGACTGATGCTTTTGCCATTGTATATTGATTGGTGGTAATTCATAGCTATATACGAACTACAAACCCTCAAGAATATTAATATGTATAGTAATAGCGATTGATGCTTTGCCCCTTTAGTGCTTCTTTCCTAATCAAGGCAGTGATGCAATTAAATAAAAAGATGCACATTTTCAGTTTCTCTCTTTTGTTATTGTTCCGTCTTTTCTCACACAAGCTAAAAAAGAAAAATGTCCTTGAATTTTCTTCAAACACTCTCGACTGACATAGGCCAGCTTTTGCAAGATTCCGATGAATGCAATATTATAATAGAAGTTGGAGAAGATCCGAACATTAAAGCATTTTACGCTCATTCGATTATATTGCGGGCAAGATCACCATATTTCCGACGAGCATTATCGCATGAGTGGACCAAAATCGAAGACGGTCGTAGAAAGTTCAGAAAACCCAATATTAAACCAGAAGTATTTGAACTCATTCTCAAGTAACCTTAGCTGTATGAAGTACAGTCTGTAATACATTATCCGTAATTCGTTACTAATTTCTTTCTTCTTTATAGGTTTATATATAGCGGCGACATTAACTTGGACGGGCAAGACGTGTCAAGAATATTAGAGCTCCTGGTTGCTACCGACGAATTGCTGTTAAGTGAGCTATCTGATCACGTTCAAGATTATATATTACATTGTCAAAGTGAATGGCTTAAGCAGAACGTTGTCAGTCTCTGGACGAAAATACATCATTACGACGCTTGTGCCAAATTAAAAAACCACTGTTTGCGATTGATATGTCGGAAACCACAATTTCTCTTTGCATCGGAGGATTTCTTGTCCATGCCAGAGTCATTGCTACTGCCATTCTTGCGAATCGATGGTCTTCGTATGGAAGAGATTGAAATTTGGGATCATGTGCTTCGCTGGGGATTAGCTCAGCATCCAGAGATTCGGGATAAGGACATGAGCAAGTGGTCTGCTGACGAGTACGATGGTTTGGAAAGGACACTTAAAAACTGCTTGCCTTTGATTGACTTTGCCCATGTATCGTCAAACGACTTTTACAGTAAAGTATGGCCATTCCAGGGAATGCTGCCCAAGACTCTATTGGAGGACATAGTTAGGTACATATATACATGCATGAATTATAGTTGGGACAATGGGCAATGGCGAATATTGATATAACACAATATTGATTCGGATGGGGGGCTGGGGGGTTTTTTTTCCTTTCTTTCTTAGACATCACCTCAAGACAAACAGTCCTCCTCAGCCTGTCAAGCTTGCGTCTAGACTGCAATTCGATTCTGCTCTAATTCGGACATCCCACGTTGCTCTTTTGGCTAGCTGGATTGATAGGCTCGGCGACAAGAGGTATCTCTACGATGAAGTTCCATATCGGTTCCAGTTATTGTTGCGGTAAGTAGATCCAGCTAGTATTATAGGACTGTGGTTTCTATTACACAAAGTTATTAACCTTATTGCTTGCCTTGACAGAGGGACGCGAGACGGCTTTAGCTCTTCGGCTTTCCATGAACTGTGCGACGAAAAGCCAAAGACCGTTGTAGTAATCAAGATTCGTGGGACTGACGAGATAATTGGTGGATATAGTCCGTTGATATGGAAACCGATGGATGGTTACTGCAACACTGAAGACAGTTTTCTCTTCAGCTTTGGAAATCGTGGTAACGTTGAGGACGCTACATTGAGTCGCGTATCTCTATCGCGATCTTATTATGCTATTCGATGGAATGGACGTGACTATGGTCCTTGTTTTGGAGATAAAGATTTGTGGATGCGAAACAAGTTTAATGAAGAACTTAGTTGTTCATGTCGGCGTGACGACTACATGGAATCTATTACCGACTGCACAACTTTTTCTGTTGAAGAATATGAAGTATTCAGGGTTGTAAAGAAAACGTCATTAACGTAGATTTTTTCAGAGACAATTAACAAAGTCACCTATCATTTAGTACCACTTATTGTCATACTTTATTTTAATAATAATTTTTTTGTAATGATTATTCTATATAGAAATGTCGGTTACCCACCACAAGACTTGATCCGACTATAGACATAATACTCCGAATCCTGTGATTATTACTTGTATTATCATTTATAGATTAAACAGTTTTGTTGAGACTACGGCCGTTCCTCGTCCTTGTTCTTGTCCTCCTCTTTCTCTGCATTCTTTTCTTTGGTTTCCTTTTCCCAATCTTTTTGCAAACGTCCGACGATTTCTAAAAATTTGTTGATTGATAACATTAGTTGCGACTGAAGAGATTCCTTTGTAAATTAGCTGTGATCATTTTAATTACCTCGATGAGCGGGTGGAGTCACCACATGCTCTACATCTTGCCATCGGGTTTCATCATTGTCAAGTTCATCTGGACTTGGATCAGAGATTGTATCATGTCGTGGAAGGGCATGAAACACTACACCTGAATGAGGTTCGCGACCTATAATTTTGTAATTGACACAATAATTAGATCAGATCATATAGACTAGAGACGAAAAGAAATAAACACATACCAATGGGTGAGGTATTCTCGCTGCGTTTATTCATGGTTGTAACTTGGTGAATATGCAATGCCCTTGCTTCGAGTCGCAAAAATGCAGAGTTTGTGGAGAGTTGGATTCCTATGCAAATGGGCGAGCAGTGATTTGAAGCAGAACAAGGATGGAAAGTAGACCAGACGCAAACATTATTGACTTTGCAACCAAGCTTGTCGTCATGATGACTTCACTCTAGTCTCGAAATGGACGAGATTCACCAATCGGAAATAAAGTTGAGATGTTTACAAACAGCACTTTGGCGGCGTTAAACGGCTTTTTTGATCAAGTGGGATTTGGTTAAGCGTTGGTTTTGTGCCTTATACACAAATTTTTTCCTAGTGTTTTTCATTTATTTTAAAATCGAATTTGCTTCGGTTGGTAATCGCAATATACCGAATCGAGAATTCATAATATCAAAGGGATTGAATAATCACGGAAATTTTCGCAGAGTGCATCCGCATTTTTTGAGTCCAGGGAGGTGGAAAATTTCTCGCTACAAAACGTGAGTTTATACAACCTGTATACGGTTAATCACTCACTCAATCAACGTCAAGTCTGTCAATTAATTTCATTTGTTCAAGAAAAAAATGGATTGATAGTATTAGTGAAAAGAAGCTACACAACAACAGAAGGAACAGTGCGAGTCCATAACCATTAATATAATAAAACTATTTGTACAGATTACTACTCGTAAATTAGTGTAAATGTCCAAAATTGAAGACTATAAAATTAAACTCCAATTTTAATATAACTAACTCTGCAACCGCACTTCTTATAGTAACTTTTCTAATCTAATTTGTGCAGATACAAGCACAAACTTTCATCTTTCAATAAATAAATAATCCCGCGCACCCACCACCCTCTTATACGTCGTCCACAATTCTTTTCGATACAGTCTTTCCCATTAACAACATTAACAAAACACCAGCCGCAACAAAAAAATCCCGTGGATATACGACTCCTTCATCGCAAAGTCATCCAAGAGTATAATCCGAAAGCTTAGCAAAGAATGGATTCACAAACTCAAAGAAAGCAAACTGTGATGGTTGTGTACCATATTTGTAGACAAATCTGCTTGCTAAATAGGACCCAAAGATAGCGCGGACATACGGTTCAGGTACGCGCTCGAGCAGAGTGTCAAGTCCCAAACGATCAAGCAAAAGCTGTGGGAATGCTTCGCGCAAGACCGCCTTGCGTAATGGAACATTTTGCCAGAGTATCGATTGTTGGAGATCCTCATTGAGTGTCACAATGTTAAGACTCAGTTCGTCAGAAATAATAGATCGTGGCTTGTTAGTGCGACGGTGTTCGCGCCAGATACATTCGAACTCTAGTTCGGCGTTCTTTTCTATGATATGATGTACTTCTTTAACATAATCCTGATAAAACTGAGGTATAACACCCTCTTTGACTTGCATGTTCTTGTCGAATTCTTCATCAGTGAGAGACAAGGCAGCAAGCACCTCTAGTGAAGATGAAGTTACACCACCCTTATTCGCCGAGGCATCTTTAAAGATAATAGCACCGGCTTCTTCTAATCTTAGGCGTGCCTCTTGGGTGAAGAACAGATTGGCACCTTCTACAATGTACTTGAAGCGTGGTTTGCCATTATGATCGAGTAATAGACTGACGTTACTGAGATCGACCGATTCCGGACGACCGCCACACGGAACGAATAGTTCGGCCGAGACGAGACTTGACAAGTGGAAGTTGTTCCTGAAAATTAAACCGTCATCAATGACTTGTCCGTCTAGAATGAGAGGACGAGGGTTAGCAACGAGAATGTATGCTAAATAAATGGATGCGGCGGGAAATATCAATCAACTTACTTGGTAGTTTGACATTCTGTTGATCGACTAATACTCTGAATCCTTTGGGTGATAATTTTGACAAATCGAATTGTGATATCATAAATCGGTTATGAGCAAGGCGTCTCAACTCTGTGCGATCGATACCGTCCGGATCACAGAGGACACCACTACCGTCAACAACGGCTGAAAAAAAAAGCAGGCAAATTAGATAAACAAAACTAAATGGACCAATAAGGCAAACATGACACTCGCCATCCAACACTTACCAATAGTTCTATCCTTTGAAATCCTAATCTCGTTACTACCCAAATCTCCATCAGGTCCACCAGTTTGGAATTTAGTAATCTTGGCTTCCTTCAAACCCAATTTCTTGTATATTCCTAATACGTATTGGTGAACTGATCTGGTGGTCATTCCGTAAACATCATGAGGAATACCACCGAGTTCTTGTGATTTGCCTGTAGTGAAAGCTTTCCAGAATGGTGCTCCGCGTTTACGCGCGTGGGCACTCGCCCAGTCAACGAGTGTTGCTGTGCCCTCATCGGGACCGAAGAAGAGAATTTCTGGCTTATTATACAGATCGATGATTTTCTGAAAATTGGAATCATCAAAATAAGTAAGTGAACGCTTCTTTGTATGCTATATCTCAAGTTACCAAGCAATATGAACTCACTTCTTTGATTCCAGGCGTTCTTCCAACAATCAAAAGATCCAGGATACTATCAACATATTTCTCAAACGCGACACGATCCTTGTCTTGTTGTGCAAAATCCAACAAAATCGTTCCTTTCGAACCACCCTCGGGTATATCCTTGTTTTTTCTTTGTTGCGTAGCCGCCAAAGCATAATTTTCATCAAATAAACTTCTCAAATTGATGCTATACGTTTCCTTATTCCTAGATTTTATAATCCTAATCCCGCCTCTCGCCACGTCTCTGAATCTCAAATGGAATCCTCGAAATTCCGACCCAATTACAAAGAACATTCCGAACAGTTTGGTCGGATATTCAATCGCTGGAAGGAAGCTAGGGTCGAGACGGAAGGAAAGTGCAACCTTTGTTGGCTGATAAAAGTTGGTTTTAAGCACGTGTTTGTTGAAAGTGAGGAATGATTCAAAGACCATGAATTCGTGAGTATTGGATGTCGTGCGTTTGATCTTGTCCAAAAGTTCATCGTCTGTCAAGACTACGTCTGTTTGGATACGCTGGTAAGAGAGAGAGGGTCTTTTATAATAAAGAATAATAGTTAGTATGTGGGCTGTGAGAGAAAGCCATTGATCTATGCACTAGGCTGATCGATATAATATCGTCATATTTGAATACTTACTCAAGTGCAGCTGCCCGCGGATTAATATAATGCGTCATCGCAAAATTGATATATAATAAATGAATCAACTCTGGATACATCTTGATAATATCCAAAAGATACTCTCTAGTAAAAGTGTCTGTCCTCAGCTTCTTTTTAATCTTGGTCAGCACGCCTACATGCACCGGATTGTCCTTGTCCAGAATACTCGCCAGACTGACATACTCATTACCCAACCTGTTCAAAAAGTGTTGTGCGAAAAGCCATCCCACATGGCCGTAGATGGCCTCTTGCACGGAAAGTTTTCCGGTTTGGAAGAAGCTTTGTAGAGGCGTCGTGGGAAGACAATAAATTAGAGAGGCTTCTTTGATTACTTGGTGGATCGTGTGTTCAATGGGTGCAGAGTCTGAGTTTGGCAAGGGATTGAGATAGAGAGACACTACTGTTATACCGTTGGAGAATTGCTCTGTCAAGTTTAAAGATCACGGAAACTCGAGTTAGAATATGACTAACGAATTAGTTACAATGACAAATAACAAACAAACTGTCTACATACCGACATATTTCCTCGTCGAATACATGTCGTAAAAGTGATACAAATCGCTCATAGCTGAGAAAAAGCTTTGAGTACTTCCCTGCCTATAGGCAAGTACCAATCTCCTCTCTCTACTTCCTTCAACTTCGAACATTTCAATCACAGGTCCGGTCCTGTTCAATGCCAGTTTTATGATATCACGATAGATTTCTAATGTGTTTTCGGTTACTTTTTCTAAAAATGTTTTGTCGCCAACAAGGCGAATATCTGTTTCTTCTTCGGGTGTAGGGTTTGGTACAACAAAATCACATTTTGATATGAAATAGCAGCGAAGCTGAGTGTTCAGTGAGGGAGAGACGTTGCCGTGAGAGCGATAAGTTTCGAGACGATATGCTCGTTCTGTAGAGCTGCCGTCCAGGTATTTGGCATCGATTCTGGAAAATTAGTGAGCATTCGGGTAAAGACGACAAGAAAGTTATGACATGCTGGTTGACTATAGTACATTGATTTCGAATATATGCATCAGCGCCACTTTTACAGCCACTCGTTTCTCGTTGATCACTTCGAATGCAAACGTACCTTCTCTCGTGTTGAGGGCCTTGAGACTGAGACACCCCAGGACGCGAAGTGTGTATATACACAGCGCCTTCCTCTGTTTCTCTTTCAAGATTAATGTCGAACTCATTCTCATTCTTCGTGTAGGCGAATATCTTTGCACCGTAGAGAGCCATGATGTGATTTGCAATAGTTTCAAAAGTTTCTGTGCCAAAGTATACATCATCGATTCCAAGATTGCTGGTTTGTTTTCAAATAGATGTTGATAGTGAGCGAATTGAAGATTGCATGGACAAAGAGACGGCAAAGATTGGGAAAGGATGCACGCAAGACACGAGATGAAGATTGTTCAATCCTCTCTCTTGTTATCGTTGTTGCACCCATCTTTCTGCTTTCATTTGTACGCAGAATATGACTCACCCATAAAACCACGACACTTCGTTCTTGACCAGATCTTTTGGTATAAAGCCACGTTCTTCTAGATATGCGCAAACCTTGATCATTTGTTCTTCTTTCCCATCAAAGATATGGTCAGTGTATCCACTCGAGTTCTTGACCACCATATTTGTGGGCTGTAAGAACAGACCGGGAATTTGTCGAAAAGAGGACATGGTAAGGTATCAGAGAGAGAGAGGTCAAGCGAAGTTGAGAGGGGAGGAAGTTAATGGAAAAGTTTGACAGGAAAAATGAGAAGTGATAGTGTTCGCTGATTGTTTGGCATCTTAAGTATATATGTGGATTTGACTCGTACAAACTTTGACAATACACATGTATGGTAAAAAACAGTTGTTTATTATTAACACTAATATACCCCCTTTTTTTTCATATACACATGACTGCTATTTACCAAAATTCTTTTTGCCGGATCGAAAAAGGGGGAGGCTTAATTTCCTATTTGTACAATAACACAGAATGCGCATATTGCCGACAATTGTTCATACAATGTAACTATATTGATTTATATGCAATGTTTACATGTATGTATATCTGATGGCGTATATATAAAATGTAATGTGAGGTTTAATCCTGGTTTTCATTTTACTAAATACGGACCTCCCGATACTAACTAATTAGAGCATCTGATATGATTTCCTGCATTGTAATCCAAACTGTAGTTTGACTCATCTTGCAAAGGTTGCTGATTTCTATGGTACACATATTGTATCATGTACTTTGAGATTATCACCTCATCTATTGCTTTGTAAGTAACATTACAAGGTGAGGAGTGGGGTAGTAGGAGTGGGGGGGAGTGATGCAACGTGGACAATAGACATTTACAAGGTGCATAATATTGCGTGCGAAATGTGCAAAATGGGCATTTGTGCAAAGTAGAAAGTTGGGGGACTTTCCTCGTCCGGATAAATAACTTTTCCCACGACATAAAGATATTTGCTGTTCAGGATGAGATCGGTAAACGTAGTGACAATATTGGTTTAGTCGGCAAATAAAAAGTATTTCCATTATGGTATATCAGGCATAACAAATATAGTCTATAATAACCGTCCATTGTGTTGCTCATTGAGAACACCAGCCATTTCGTTTTTCAGTCCTCTCCCATCTAATGTCCTGAAACATCGATCACACACGCTCAGACATTCGTATATACCAGATCCGTTGACCATTCGGACTTCCAAGTTATTTAGTCTGAGCTATGTATTCTTCAGAACAAAACGGTTGTCGTAGTTATTCCTCACAAGGAAGGTCTGTATTTGCAAACACACCATGCGATGACCTTCTAGAGGTATTCGGCACAACCGCACTTCATACAATGACCTTCTAGAGGTATTTGGCATAACCACATTTCTCCTTGGCATTGTCATTGGGAACGCTTGGATGCACAGTACTCATTGTTCTTTATTTTTATGTCATTTGCACATGATGAAAAGTCAAAATCCGGCCAATATTTTATAATCCAGACGGAATAGGCGACAAAATAAGCTGCTTTAGTGTCTTCTCCAATTACATATGACGTGCTCAAATGACCTCACTTGTGCGATTACCCCCCAGTTTCCAACGCATTCATCACATATCACTCTCTCTAGAATAGTCGCACAACTTGGCTTTATTTGACCCGCATCCAAATACTTCACGCGACAATCATTCGGCACCTACATACAGATCGACACGAAATTACAAGAAAAGCCAAGTGAGATCGTCAGATGTGTGTGGAGATAAATACCATAGTTGGAAAGCGGAGAAATAAAAGCGGTATGTTATAGATGTGTAATTAGCTTGGCTGTTAAATAAGGCATTTTGTTACTCACCCAGTACGACTCTCTGCCTATAATTAACCTTGCAATCACGGTGCTATAATAAAAGCCTTCCCGTTTATGGAAAGGTGTTTTTTTCCAAGATCGTTCGTGCTGGCATGTGATATGTCAAAGAGATTGCTATTCGACGATGACACAAGTATTCATATTGGGTTAGTCCAAACCCTGGCAGTCAACTTATTATGATTGACCGATTAAAAACGTCAATTAAACTCTTACATTAATGTCTGCCAATGAATTCAGAATCCAGAACTCGTCGACAAACTAAGAAATATCATTGGTTCAACTTTTTTATAACAAAAATAGATTCCACCAATAAACTTGGTTATTACCTTCACTTTCAAAGAAATAGCGAATTTAAATTTCGAAAAAATGGCATGTGCGAAAATAAAGCGAATATATTCATGAAAGACATGCTTGCACAAGTTCTTCTGTTTGTCAAGGTGTGTGGGATATGAATTGTGCTTTTTTCTATCAGTAAACGTTACCATACGTTTGCCTTCGTCTTATGTATAAAGCTTTCTTGGGAAATTCAATTGGTGCCATGCTCTTTCGGGTTGCTTATCTGATATCTTGTTATGAATTGATAACATTAAGTTTATTTACCGCACAATTCATAAGGACGCGTAGAATCAAATATGCGGCGTAACACAGGTAGTGATCAGATGTTAAGGGTAAACATGCAACTTACACGACAGAAGCAAGTACGCAGGCAAGTTTAATGTTTAAACAGCTTCTCAGAGATATCCCGAAAATATTGAGATAAAAGTTTACACCATATGTATGTGTACGTATATTATCTTCAGTGATGACCCGATAAGATTAAGCCCCACACATCTCAAAAAGATTGTTCACTGTATGCTTAACATTTGCTCCCTAGCAAAACAGTATATAGTACATCTATACGTAGCAAAAATCTGAGACAATACCCTTTATTTATTCGTATTTCCACCACACGGGTGTTTGTTGAAGAACATTGGTAACAAAAATTTTTTCTACACTCGATACTTTTATGATCCTAGCACTAGCGTTCTGAAGACGCTTCCTGAGACTTCCGGCGAAAAATACCAAGTAGCTATAGATGGGGTTGACGAGTTTGAACCGGTTTCTATTAACTACTTGGATGAATCATTAACTACTTGGATAAATCAACACTGCAACGTTAACCAAGCGCCCGATCATTCCCTACGGTTTGCGGTATCGCCTCGTCTTTATTCCAATTATCCACAATGGCTACCCTTATTATTTTAGAAATTGAGAACTTTTCCTGTTGTTATGTCTTAATATTAAAGGTTTAACGAGACCATACAAAAATGCGCTTAAATTACTCGATCTTGACCTCAGACATGCATGATTTTACCCTTCTTGGCAGATGAACATAAACTCTGAAATCTTATTTTTAACGGGTCTGGTGGATTTGTCAAGAATTTACGAGTGGGCTTGTTCGGTCATATTTAAATTCGCTGCTGTCATGGTCAACATATCTTGTCACTACGACATTAATGGCAAGATGGCATACTAAAAGTCGATTGCATATTAGTAAAGTAAAACTATAATTGTCAGGAAAGGCGTTTGTGCATATGACACCTGCTGCAGTAATTATAGCGAGACGTTTAATAATGCAAGTCATTATTATCAATTTAAACAGCCGCATGTTGCTTACTCTAAAGAACTAAGCATCATAAAGTACTTTAGGTTCATCATTTAAATCCTTTTATCTTTTAACCTATCGATCTATATATCTCTACTACACTTTACCATCGTTGCTATCTCCAGTAATTGAAAGTATGCCTCGGAGAATCGAAGCGAAAATCTATTGAGAGTTCGTAACTGAGGCTTATTACAAATACACTTGGGTTTTCTTGGCAAGTAATATTAATGTAACAAATCGGATTAAATATGTCTTCGTTGTAATATTTCGAGTCAATTATTTGTATACGACGTATATGAATGCCTTACCACAATTTGAATACTACAATTAGTAGGAGAGAGAAAATACGAACGTTTCAAATCAACATATCGAAGATTTATCGTATTTCTTAATTATCGTTATATTCCTTCGATTAAGTATTAAATGGTGTGACATATCGATCGTGGTACGGGATGTCATATGATCTGTTAGTATTAGGAAAATCCTATACCACCGATTGTGCCAAATTTGGTAACTTCATAACAATTGCATTCTCATCTTTCTTTCTGTCAAAGTAGCTCCCGTATGATTTATGATTGATGCTTATTCGCGTTTTTTCGCGTTCACTATCATTGCATGTCTGCCACACCTCGTAGTGTAAAATTTTTATTTGACTAGTCAAAGAGTTCGCATAGAGTATGTTTACAAGTGGATTTTCGTACCACTCGCATAAAATTATCGTTATCGCCCGATATAATTGGAGCATCATTCAATTCCGCAGTTTATAAAGAGATAGTCACATGGCCAAATCCTCGCAATGTCATCTTTGAAAGAATGAATATCTGGCCGACTGCAAACGCAGAACAGATTTATTCTTGGTCGGAACCTGCGACCAGGACTGAATTAAACGACGCGCTTGAAGAAAAGGTTACCAGTACAAAATGTGTGAAGTTGAACTCGGCCTTGAATGCATTGACTGCTTCGCCAGACTACAGTCGTGTTGCCTTTGCTGCCCGTGAAGGTATTGTTTCTGAAATATCATTTAACGGTTCAGAATCTCTAAGATTTGCTTTATATTAAACGTGGATTCTAAATTGAAGGGTTGAAAATATTAAACATCAACGAAAATGATAACATGGAAGAGTTGATTTTTAGAGTTAGCCCTCGGCATAAATTTGGATTGAATGATGTAAAATGGGGCAACGCAGGTAAGCTTAAAAGCGGAATTAAATGGAAATAGAGCTGGCTTACTTGGTATTTTGCGTTGAACACGCACCAGAGACAAAATGCGCAAAATGCCTTATTGCTCTAGTTACTGACTCGTAACGATGCACCAGCCACTCGACAGAAAGTAGCAGGCGCAGGCAATACCGTAAACACTGGCATCGTAATATGGGATCTTGGCGGATCAAAACCAAAGGTTGGTGAGTATTCAATGTGACAAAGATACTATCTGTCTGATCAAATTCTTGCACTGTATATCCATCCTGCATCACGGCTATTGACGTAAATTCTCGCCCGAATTAGAGAGAATTATCACGGAACACACTCAAGTAGTCAATAAAATATGTTTCAATCCTACAAATGGCCATTACCTTCTTAGTGCTTCGCACTCATCAACTATGAAGTTATGGGATTTAAGAACACGTGATCAAGCGACCATGACGTTTGAAGGTAGATCGGACGCTGTACGTGACGTGCAATTCAATAAATTAAATTTCAACGAATTTGTTGCTGCTTTCGATACTGGGATAATTCAAGTGAGTGTTCTGACTCATTAAGACGTTAATCAATGCTTGACAAATTAGACTCGAATTTTAATATGTTTGTCAATAATTTATCAAGAAATGGGATATAAGAAGGCCAAACATGTTTGAAAGAAGAATCAATGCTCATCTCGGCGCAGCTCTCGCAGTCGACTGGCATCCGGATGGGCATCATATAGCCAGTTGCGGACGCGACAGGAAAATTAAAGTAAGTCTATTCACTCCCATTCACGTACCGCAATTACAATCTTGGGTTTCAAGCAATGCAATATCAATGCTCTTATACGTCTTAGGTATGGAGCGGGCGTAAAATTGTGCATTCATTCTCGACCATTCAAGGCGTCTCTCATATTCAGTGGAGGCCGGATCATCCCGATGAAATTGCTTCATGCTCGATGAGCTCGGATTGTAGGATATTTATCTGGGATGTGAGAAAGCCATATGTTGCGAGTTGCTTTTTTGAGGAACACGAAGATACACCGACTGGTAATGCGATTTGTATTTTTTGAATGAATGCTTGCCTATTTACATGTGATCGATTTATAATACGGTTTTCCATTTGTTTCAGGTTTCTTGTGGAAAGACTCGGACGTCTTGTGGTCTTCGTCGAAAGACAAACTTTTTATTCAGCAAAATGTCCGAGTAGCATACCACACTTCAAAGTTAATGAGCAAAAGTGCTGTTGGATGGAACGTATACGGCGGAATGGCCTTTGCCTTGGATAAGACTGCTACCGAGTGAGTAGACTAACCCGCATTTAATCGACAGTGTATCAAGAGATTTATTAATTAATTTAAATATACAAGAAACAAACCTAATATGGCACATAATGGGCTATCTCGGCGTGTATCAAAGTCTCACTTGTCTGGTTTCGGTGAAGTAAGTAATGAGATATCACTCGGCCTGTTTTAAAATCAGGCGTCGCTTCTAATGCAAGTTGACACGTATGTTAATTCCAAACCAGCCCGACAAATTATACCAAAAAGCCGGGATGTTTAGTTCAGTATTCGATCACAAGGCATTCAGATATCTTACCGATAAGTATGTGCTTGAAGCGGACAATATTGCTGCCGTTTGCGAAGAGAACGCAAAGGTACGATGTATAAATTGGCGGATTCTGTCAATGCACTAGCTGCTCGTAGTCTTACTCACCAATTCAAATTTTAGGCTGCATTGGATGTGCAAAGATATAAGACATCACAAACATGGAAAATGGTAGGGCTTTTATTCGGACGGACGACGTCAACCAGAACTGAAGAGAATGAGATTCAAGAAAATATCGGTTAGTGCTAGTACTGTCTTCAGGTTACGCGAATATACCGGTCATCTGACTACTTATAACTGCAGAAGAGGCTCAAGTAGAAGGAAAAGATAAAGAAGTTATAGGAGAGCAAATACAACCGATCCCGCCTGATATTGTAACTGCCGCGCAAACCGATTCAAAGGAGACTGAGATTATAAATGAAGACGTTGCACTCGACGCTGCAACCGATGATCTCAATGTACAACACTTTTCTCTCACTGAATAGCTTGATTTAATGAATCGAGTACTTTTTTTAATTGTTGTTTCTGCTCACCCATTTGCCTAGCACGACGACTCCGCGTCGGAATCAGGAGAAAGCGTAGAATATTCAATTGAAAAAGAAATTATTCCAGAAGAAAATCCCCCATCACCTCCGGTGAGCAAGGTCAAAATGACAGCTGTTATAAGGGCTTGGGATCATGAGCCTGTGATACAAAGCGTCCTGGATTATTACGCAGAGCAGGTAGGAAAAGTTTGTGAGTGGTTACGAATGTGGTGTTTGAGAAGAATGCAAGATAAAAAGTTTACAGAGAGTAGTTACAATAGTTAATGAGGATCGAAAGATATATGCAAAAGGTCTAACTCGAATATTGTGTAGGCGGATGTTCAGATGTGTGTTTCATTGGTGCTCGTGCTTGGCGATCGGATAAACGTCAGTCGGGAACGCAAAGAACCGTGGTTTTGTGCATATATTGGTAAGTATAAAGGTATCGTTAAGGAATTCATTCGTATTGTTATCGATAAACTTACACGTTCTCTTTGAAAAGAATTACTTCAGCGGTTTCAGCTTTGGACAGCGGCTGCGACTGTGATTTCATTATGTGATATTCCGTCTATAAGACAAATGAACCAGGTTTGGAGATAAGCATTATATATGTCCAAGAAAAATGATCCTGTTAACTCATTTTCTTTCGATCATCACTTATTAGGAGTCTACTACAATATACACGAATTGTAATAGTTGCGGAAAAGCCTTGACCTCAAAGAATGGGGGGTTCTGGTCTTGCGAAAAATGCCGCAAACTATTGAGTTCTTGTTCTATATGGTTTGGCTCTTTCCAGGCGTTGTTATGATGCTCGCTTCTTAAATATACTTGTTCGCCTGTTAACTCACGCATATTCTCTTTACCACTTGTAGTCATACTACTGTTAAAGGTCTCTACGCATGGTGTCAAGGTTGCAGTCACGGCGGACATCTTGCATGCATGCAAAAGTGGTTTAAGAACGGGCTTGAATGCCCGACTGGATGCGGACATAGATGCGGTCCAAAAATAACACGTCCATAATATCAACTTTACTAACTGCAGTTGCTTGAACTTAATAGAGATGTAACCGGATTGTATAATCACCTCTTCCCGCGTTTAATAATAATGGGGAATGGTAATAGTTGGATAACTACTTAATATATTTAATTTATGTATAAATAATTTCGGTGTATCTTAGCTTTGGCCAACATTTTCTTGTAAATTTTAATAAATACTTTGGCTGATGCGTGTTACTCGTTATATAAATTGTTCTTTACGTCTTGGATGTGTTGATGGGCATAACCTTCAGCTTGTCAGCAGTCAGCGCCAATTTTTCCGAATAAGTTCAAAAGCACGATTATTACTATTATTGGCACTGAAACTATTGACTTGGCAGCAATCAAAGATTAAAAAGACAACAGATAAAGCAAACAAGACAAGACTGATCGAGGCGTCTTGAACATGTTTGGTCAAGTGTCCAATTATAACTTTTTTATTATACTTTATATGCCGATATAAAATCCAACAAATTTCTTATATCGAAAATTCTTATTATGTCAGCAAAAAGTTTTTTATAAATCAGAGCTACTTGCGGAATATATTAATATGTGCTTGCCTGCCAAAATTACATGCCAATCACACGTAGAGAGAGAGAATCGCTCATAGCAAATGAATAAAATAAAACATTACTAACCTTTAGAAACCGTTCTAACGCTGCTCTCTGCTATGGATACTAGAAACTCTTTGCGATACAAAACAAAATATCTTCATCATTGTTCATCTTTTGATGATGCTTGCCTTCAGCAACTGCGCAAAGTGCTTATGGGCTCCCACGAATGTGACAGAGATTGCAACCACCCGGAGGTGGAGGTGGTAACAGGAAGATGGTAGTAATGGGGGAACCACACCGTCAGTGCTGTATATGTATAGACCTCTGTGTGTATAACACTCATACTCATACTTACCTGTTCGTGGCCCTTGCCTATATAAAGAGTAAAAGTAAATTGGTGAGTCGTGACTAGCTATTACGAGACGCGGAAGTAATAGACATGTCTTCAGTCTTCATCTCTACGTGTGTTGGGAGTCGAGTCGAGTAGAAGGTAATAAGTGTCACAGTCATCAATATTTTATACGTATCCTGCGAATGACGTTGACATGACACGTCAGAAAGTAGTACATAATATCATTCGCAGGTTGCACGTCACGTTGTCTGAAGCATATCGCGAGGAACTTTTATTCACAACGAATAAATAATAATAACGAGTTTGTTAACCCGCCGCTTCGCTGACGGTCTAACTGCATACGTGTAGCATGTAACCGTCAATAATGCGTAATTTACAGAGCATAACGACGGAAATAAACTATTAAACACTATAATCATTCCTCCTATATTAATATTATATAACCTTTGATTCAGGCAAAAAGACAATCTACTCAATCACCAAAGAGGCCAAAATTCAATGAGGGAGGAATGGGGTGGTCTCGAAAAAGGTTTATAGTTAACAATGAAAAACCGAGTTCAAGCATGTATTGAAGCTGGAAGAGGCCATACTAGGTATTAAGTCGATGTGTAACTTTGATCAATCAACCATCTCTGATTTTTCTCCTCAATGTGATATGGAATTTATTATACATGCATGGTACAACTTACTAGACTAGATATTCTTTTGTAATTCAAACGACGATATTCGAAATTGCATACTATCCTGCATCATACCTGAATACTCAAAGTATTTCATCGTCATGTTATGGCAATTCCACGTAAACCACGCACAGTATTCACTCAAGAACAAGTCGCTATCCTCAGACAAAAATTTGCGGAAGGCATGATCAACCACTACAAAGTGACTCTGATCGCCTTAATATTCAAACAGTTAACGTATGTGAGATTACTAACCCGCCTTTTCTCCAAAAAATCAACTTGTACTGATAATAGATATTTCTAGATTAGCAGTAAGACAATTACTTCTTTGCAGATAACACAAGCCTGCCACATCAAAAAATGTAACGAATCCTCAGACACGCATTCCAACAGTGCGTTCTTCAGGTTATTCAAAAGTCGATGGTAATTAGTCTTGTCTTATTGCCTTTTTTTTTTTTTTTTAGATCTGCAACGTGTCAAAACTCCCAGCGAGCGAGACAAACGAACTTGCAGCCATTAATATTAATGAGTATTGTTAGGAACACACGGAAGTCATTGAAGAAAATGAATCGGGTTGCTGGATATGCATGGAATAACCTAAGTGCCAGCGAAAAAATCGTCATAAGGAACGGGCCAATCAGTTGACCCAAAAATTATAGTAAACAATGCAAATTTATTATGCAAAGTATTAGTATTAGCTTGTAGGCTCACAAAAATTATATTGCGGAAAATGACATTAGACAAAATGTGATCATACTAATACAATTAGTTGAAATTCACAAAGTACTCAACTTTCTGTTAATAGCAGATTTTAACGCTTGGTAATCACTATGGATTAATCGATTACATAAAGTAACAAAGAAGGGCTTTCAGTATTGCTTTCTGTTACAGAGCTCCTTTACGAAAGACCCTACGATGAAACTTATTATAAAGCCACCAAGTTAATACCATTGAAATCATCCAATTAAACTTTGAATAACGTTTCTATCGGCATCCTTCGCGTCTAAAATGAAAACTTGGAGAATAGGCCGTAACCGACACAGCTCTTTCAAGAAGTTCTTAAACGTAAATGTTACATGTGTATGATAGTTATGTAATTTCTCATGGCATACTGCATGCAATATGACAGTATTTAATAGTTTGATCAGTGTTTTTTATGCTCGTAGCATCCCTCCATAGTCTTTCAAACACACCCAATCCCACGATATCCCAAATACTTAACAATATGGCCCAAAGTGAATATCCCAGATATATAAATGTACAGTCATATCGTAAAATAATGTCCAGTCAGCACAATCGACTTCTTTGCCTTCGAAATCTTCACAATCATAAACCTCCTTCTTGTTTCTCACCCATATCTCGTGACTGTTGTGCATGAATCCAACGTCAGCTGGTGGTAGATGAGCAACTAGATCGTTTTGATGCACCATCCTTATGATAGCAGAAGAATTGATGATGTCAGAGTATATATGCGATAAAATTGAAGAGTATATGGTAACACAAATGTAAACAAATGATGTTATAGCTAGCGTCATAAAGCACGATATCATTACTGTGGCACCGTACCTTGCTACGGTGTGATTAAGTCCGCCAGTCTTCACAAAAAATTCTTGCTTTAAAATATAAGCAAAGATATCATTGCCGACGCGTGGCTGTCCAAACGTTATCACTTTAATTCTGAAAGGTTGTCCACGTATTTCACTATTTATTATTGGATTTAAAATATTCCTCTTCACGTCGACTGCCAACAACGTGGCCAATGCACCACCCTACCAACAGTATAGGTTTAGCCATAAAATTTTGATCGCAAATAATCCCGTGTTAAGCCATCTTACCAATGAGTGTCCAGAAATTATCAAGTTATATCCTGCATACTTTGAGTCTTCCCTTGCCATGAGATAATTAATTTTCCAAAGAAGCATATCAGATACTCCTTTGTATGTTTCGTAAAATCCGCTATGGACGAGAGCACCTAACAAACAGAGACAACAAGAATCAGTTACAGTTATTATCAATCATGAGTTTAATGTCTTTTCAATGCTCACCATCTGCACCAGGATACTCATAATCCAGAGTAGCAAATTGCAAATTATACACCCAATTCATCAGATCTAGACTCCTAATAGACAGGTACCATTAAACTGTATCAACCGTCATCACATATCCACAACAACCGCCTCTCCTTTCTCCTGATCCTTGTTCGCACTTACCCTCTGAAAGCCACTATGATCTCCTTAGCTTCCTGCCTAATGCCCACGTACCCATATGCCCCTTTAACTCTATCATGAAATATCGTATCAACGACCACATCTCCAACACATCTTTTTTTACAATTCCACTCCTTCAAATGTGGCTTGTGACAATATGCTGCCGCAGCATACAAAAGGCCAACCTTTAGCTCATCCAGAAACTCACTACTCTCGTTAATGAGCAGTCTCGGCTTCTCTGCTGACATTGGTTTGGATAGCTCTTCAGTTGCATACTCGTGAGCTATGTTTCTGAGCGAGTATATTAGAAGAGTCGTCAAGAGAACAAGTAGAAGCGTAAGTTTGAAGGATGTCAGCATCTTAGAGACGTCTTAGATCTTGTGATCATTCCCAACTCCTTTTGCTTCTTTTAACGTAGAAAGCGATAACGGATTGTTAAAGAAATCGAACAGAGCATCTATGATCTTATGATACCACGCGAGGTAATCATTTCCAATTAGAGCAAACGTCCATGTGCTTGGGAAAAGGAGGCCAGAAATGGTATAAACTACGTCAATTTTTGATCGATTGGAGTATTCGGAATTTTAATATTAACACGACGTGTCGGGCGTGATAGTTGTTTCTTTAATATTAACAACTTGACATACGAAATACAGAGAGCTTTGCCAGATTAAGTCAACGTTTTAGAAACCTTTCGACTTTGAAAAAGTACTTTTGGATGTCGCTGGGGACAGAAGGGCGGTTTCCAGAGAATGCTTTCTACGAGAATTGGAAGATGTTAATTACACAGGTGTCACAAACAAAGATCTCCTCCTGCATCTGCCCACTAGGATTTAATTTATGTTTCCGCGCTTACTAACTATTACTATTCTACAATCAACATTTTGTTGGTTGAATCTAATTCGCTCTACTTCGAACTAACCGAGAAGGCCATTTAACAGTACAAACTGCGAAGATGAAATTGCATTTTTTACGCAGTGACAAGAATCTTTTTATCCTTATTTGCCAATCGTGAGAACAATTGGTATGATTGTTCTCACATATTAATATTATTAATATAATAACGCCATCCGTAAAAATGTGATAGTTACATTACTTACCAAAAGAGATGTATTAGAATAATAAACACCGAGTCGAGTTCTTTTCCCAGGGCCTTATGTATACAGTATGTTAATATTAAACGACAAATCAGTCATAATCAAAGTTGGTTGTTTGCTAATGCATTCATTATGGTGTTCTTAATAAAGAGGTGTAGCCTATTGTTATTATCGCATTACTGGATTAATGAGAATTTAATCCCAGCTTAACACGCGTTGAGAGAATGTACACAATTATAATTTTTAAGCGATTCACTATACCCATCTGGAACATGCTACAGCAAATGTATAAATTTTACTCTGTTTCCTTTACATGTATATACGGCAGACTTTTTGATGTCGGCACACTGATAGAAATAACGCATTCTTGCAGGTTTTCTTGAGTCGATATGTAGCTTCCCAACATGAATGGAGCTTAGTGTTTTCGACACGCAACGATTACGTACACGCCAGGACTAGCTTAGAACGTTAATCTTAAGACATTCATACTGGACAATAAACATGTAGGAATGGAAATGCCTTCTGTGACATAGGGTTTGGAAGATTAAACAAGTACCTGAATTTGAACGTAAAGTCGAAGATAAAAATGCATTGCGTTGTAGAGATAGGCATATATTAGTATATTTATTTGAATCATGAGTGGGCGACTCTTGGCCTCGCCTGTTTATATGTAAGATCAATGATTAATCAAAAATCCGTTAACGTGTTATTTACTCCAATCAAACCGGTTAGTTCAAAAATGCGAGTGGCGGATAAGATGCACGTTTATATTAATATGCAAAAACAGTAAAAGGGGGAAAACGTTAATTCTCTAGCGACAAAGCCCGCACCGTGCACTTTCTATTTATCTAATTTCAAAGGTGTCCCTTTGCAGGAGAATAATTTAGATCTCGGTTTATTCATCTTTACAATAAACTCTTTTGTATTCATCAATGATTTTGATGCTTTACACAGTATACCATTTATACGAAAACAATCATGACAATACAGGCCCAGTCTTAATATGGTATTACACTATAATGTGTAAAAAGTTTCATATTCCTTATTGCGTAGATAACATCAGCAGATAGTGGTATATATTGCCCTTAAAATTCACTTGCCACCAATTGTTAACATTAAGTCTTCTGGTGGGCTCGAATCTTCCAGTTCCATCTCCCGTTAGCTTCGTCGTGGTGATGACTTCGCAAGTAGGGCTACTTTTACATCTTCTTTTCCATCGTCGTCATTCTTCTTCTTAGACTCGTACTTGTAATTTGGGTACTTCTTTCGATGTACTATTCTTGCCAATTCGGCAATTTTAAAAAGCTGGTTTACACGGGGCTCTTCATTCTCCCGCTTCTTTAGAATACAGCTTTTAGCGTATCCCTTACCGTCGTACTTTTCCTCCAGCTTTATTATGCTTTTTTTTTCGTTGCGGTATACTTGCGGTTTTTGGTTTAATAGACGTCATAACCTTTTCTTCTTTTACTCTTCCATCTCTTTCACCGTTTTCCACTTTTTTTGCCGCATCCAAATTTCGACGATACATTAATCCATTCGTTGGTATGTGACTGTCGTTGAGTTGGCCTTCAATTGTTTGTCGGTCATGTGATACTCAATGATGTAATCGGACGTCACTTGACTTCGTTCATACTCATTGTAATTGATAGCTTTAAGTTTGACTTAACCAAATTAATTCATTGCTTACTATTACGCATTGTTAATTTCTCTGTCAGTTGACGATCGCTGTAAATACTAGATTTTATATTTCCAACTTCAATTGCGTGCAAGTATTGGCCGATATATCGTTCACTGGGCAATATCTTATTCGATCTTGGATTTTTGTTCATAGTAGCTAAGAGAGATTTTGTGGGTCTTGGCTAAGAGATTACCAGGAGCAACTATTGCGCTGGCGAGTTTAACGTTTGCGCGATATTTCGCAAAACATAACTTAATCTAGTAATGATTGGATGAGCACAGTATAATTTAGTACTAGTATAATTTAGTGACGAAAGTAACTTGGATAGTAAACGAAATCAGCTCAACAATAAACGTCTTCATAGAACTGACCAATCATAAAACAATATTATAGAACACGTGAACGAAAACTACTGCGCTTAGCCCTTTTTGGTATTAAATGTCCAATCAAGTGAGAGTCTTTGGCGCACCCACCTAAACGCTTCCACCCGTATTAGTATTCCGTTTCCACCTTCTAACAGAGTGTAATATTTAACATAGACAATACATTAATATCATTAATCATCAGTAAAGATGATGTATAACGGGTGGCCTTTTACTGGCTGGAGCTTAAACATTGCCATTCCCGCTACTATTCAAAAGCGACTACTTACGTTTCTGTTAAGGAAGGCTCTCGGTCAATTTCTAGCAGAAGATTTGGATCTTAATAATCTTGAAGTACAACTGGGCAAGGGATTTTTGAGTTTGAAAGAATTAGAACTGAACGTTGAGGTATGTCATTTATATAACCATATGATTTTGATCTTGCCGTACAGTCAAACCGTGTGAGACATTACATTCTCACTAATTCTAATCAGTCAAGTCGTTCTTTTCTCTTTTTCGGGTTTATAAATATTGCCTAATCCTTTACTGTTAAACTTTGCGTATTACGGCTTGGTTACGCGTGATACAGGTTCTCAATGAACTTTTCACAGATTTACCGTTTTCGATTACCAACGGCAAAATTGGTGGAATAAGCGCGCATATTCCATGGACAAATTTTTGGAATCAGGAGTACGTTTTGGAAATTGATAGTCTACAGCTTGTTCTCGTTCCTGAACAAGCAAAGCCTCGAAATGGTAAACTCTATTATTTCCAAAATAAAGAAGAATACGTGAATGATAAGGAAACGCCTGATCTCTTTCTATCTATTTGTTTTCAAAGGAAGAGTGATAGTAGAAACTGTTTTATGTACACATGTAGTATGTGTTATTCAATAAGATTATCTTTTTATTTTAGCCAAGTCTGTACCCGAAGATTCCCATATATTATCTTCGTCAATACATTTCGCTGGAGATTTCCTTCGTCACGAAAAGATTCCGCCTGAAGAAGATGAAGCGCTCCGTAGCTCTATCTATCACTCTTTTCATAATAATGCGTCTTTTGTATCAGACAATAATGACAGCAACAACGTTATGGAGCAATCTCAGATTTTTGCTCAACAGAGTGAAGGAGATATCGAAGGAATTCAAGTATTGGCAAGCTGCATTGATAATATAATTGCTAGTATTAAAGTTGTATTTAAGAATACACGGATTAGGCTGCATCACCAATCTACGATATTGCCTTCTGAACATATGACGAATGATCAAGGGCAATTGAGAGATTATTATTTTGATCTGGAACTTCCTGAAATTTCATATAGGGATGAGACACCTGGAGTGATGGACGAAAGCCAACCAGATATAGGTGTATCAAATGTCACGCTGTCTGCAAAATCTGAAATGATTAAGCATTTTTCAATATCCGGATTGAGAATTTGGCTTAGGGAAGAATTGACTGCCGCAACTCGTTTATCAAACGCTCATCGAGATACTACATTTTCCAATAGCTCTCCTGCAACGAGTTCCAATTATTTAGATCCACAGTCGCTTGACAACAGCAATATTATATTTCTTAGTGCGCCCGAGTCTACAGAGGGCGCTGATAGTGGGGATGAGTGCTTCTATGACGCTCAAGCTGATAATGAATGTACGTCAGGTGACGGAAGAAATGAAACAAAGCTGTATGAGGCGTTGCTGTTTCAATGCAAAGAAGAGGGAAATTGGGCACGAGTAACAATTCGCCAGAATGCACCTCCTTCTATCCATTTTGATCACCATAATGCATCGGCATCATACTATAATACGCAAGAGGCAATGCAACAATCGAATACTACTCAATCGTGGAATATCGAATGTTTCATTGATGCCCTGACTGGTATCATGACGCCAGGTCAGGCTTCACTGCTCTCTGATTTGCTCAATGCTCTGACTGGGAATGGTTCAGAAATGGATATCAAAGCGTCTAGTGTTGCTGAGAGTGATGACGATATCATTCTCACTGACGACAAACATACGTCAATCGACTATCATGCCGCAAAGGCAACTAGCAAATCACCTCATGTTTTATATCAGAAGGCAACATCTTTTAAAACACACCAACAATCAAGCAGTTATAACATGTCTAGTAGTATTAGCAATGTACAGTCAACGGCACCTTATAATCAATCCGGAATGAATTTCAAGCTAGAACTGCGTTTAATAGAACTATTCTTTTTATATGATGATCCGATCTTGGAATGTATTCCGGGAAAGGATTCATTCGAGAAACGACAGTTCGAAGAGAGTCATTTAAAGACAGGTATCCATAACTGTGTTCTTAGTATTTCAAAACGGATATCAGATGATAATCCCCCTAACAAGAGGAGAACTGGAAGTACTTCGGGTGGTCCATTTTCATACGGACAACATAAGAATAGTGATTTGGAGGAGGCATCTAGCATCTCATTTAATCTAACAATATCTGATTTGTATGTATTGGAGGCATTGGAGGGACACTCAAGGCAGCGTTCGTCTGCTGATATATCCGCAAAGTCTGCCTGGAAGTACTACCCTGTTTTACAATTTAACTCAAATCTAAAAAAGTATCCTGGTTTCGAACGGCATGATTTTTCCGATATAAGAGAAAGAGTTAATAGTGAGGGAAGAAATAGGGGAGGTAATAAGGATAGGAATCACGGAGTCGATTCTGCCGTCATTAGAGTTGATATGCGATATAATGAAGAAGAAAGTAAGATGTCTCAAATTTTATTAAGTGCTTGTGCCTAAAACCAACCACCAAATTAATTTATAACAAATTCTATAGCAATTAATATTTCTACAGCTAGTCCTTCGCCTCAATTACGTCGAGATATAGTTATAGAGTTAGAGCCGCTTGAAATCTACCTTGATTTATGGATGATAAAACGGATGTCTAAATACATAAATGGTATCACTGGGAGTATCAACCGCGTGGATAAATCAGAAGAAGACAAGGCCCGAACTCCGTTTGCTTCAAGTATAATAGACGATCTGGACACTGTTGGATTGAGCGAGGTATTATGTATTTGTGTATGTTGAATTTCAATTATCTTGCAATTAACAGGATCGCTCTCTGTATAAACAGGGCTCTTCCATAATACGGTCAAGACTTGAGATACGCAGTGATTTGATTCGCTTCTGGCTCATATGCCCTGATATGAGTGAAATTGGTAATAGTGGTGGAAATCGTGAACATAGAATACGACCAGAATTTATTAGAATTGATGTCATTGAAATGAACATCCTAACGGGCGAAGTCGGTCCTGACAGAGTTGCTAGACCTTATACGCTTGGTCTCCCCGATTCGATTGAGACTGATGCGGGCTCGATTGATGAGAATCAAACGAGAGTTAAAATAGAATTTCATAGTGCCAGGGTTTATTTGACAAACGGTTTGTACAGCATTATTTGGTCATTATTGCAAGATTAGAGTTTTGTGATTACTTAACGAATATGCTGATCTATCTGTTTCGATTATAGATAAAATTGAAGAACGCATTCTTACCGTTGAGAAGCTAGCTTCAAATCATCAATCACTGACTCCTACTGCACCTCCGAACATTCTGATAACTTATCGTCCAGTCAGTTCAGTAACAAGTCAACTGAAACACAACGGTGGAACATTTCCTTCAACTCCTTTCTCAAAAACATTTACCTTATTTGAAGGGGGAGAACGCGTTAACTGGCCAGCTGAGAGTGAAGAAGAGGAAATGTTAATGTTTAAACACCGTACTATTGAAAGCTCCGTTAGTATTATAACTTTTGCATATTTATTTGCTTATATGCCTGGCAGTTCTTTATTAGTTTTCGCCCCCCATTGACGCTTACTCGTTTTGTCGTCACCATATAGATCTTTGTGTTCAACTGTTTCTTTCCTCTTACTCGAGCACACATCACAAAACAATCGTATGATACACTATTATTCCTGCTGAACGATATGTCAGTATGGCAACAGAATATCGGCCAGATGGGAAATGATAATGTTTCATCTCCGACACCAACGGAACGCACTTTTACGGCTAGTGGCTTTGAAACAAACATCCCACAAAACGCGGGATTCGAGGATGTGTTTTTGAACGAAGATGGCTTTGAGCAAAGACAACGTGCGGGGAGAGAATTTATTGGTATTGCTAATGATGTAAAACCAAGCCTGGCCTCCTTGGTTGTCTTAATGGCGAACGGTACTAACTTTGATGATACTTCGCTTATGGAGATCGTGCAATACATTAACTAGATCTTGATTTTATATCAGCCGAAATTACGCTATTATGTGACGAAACCAGCGACATTCAAACAACATCTAAGCGATCTTATCAATTAGATACATCTGAATTTAGATTCTTTGCCGCCATAAATTATGAAGGAGAAGTAAGGATTGGATTTAGAGCTGATTTCTCTTTGCTTCTGCATAGTAAGATGTATAATCCGCTTATTTACATTTTTTAAAATATATCCGCAGCACGTGACCTATATATGTATAGATAATGATGACTTCGCTCTTAGTGATACTTCGAATACAAGAGAAAAAGCGCAAATACTACACCGAACAATCGCTAAGGGGATCAAGGTATCTACTCTTTCATGACACGTCTGTATCTGTTTGGCTACGCCAAGTACTAATGCCACTCTAATACTAGGCGAAGAATGCGCGTCCGATGAGCTTGATCACTATGCGAATTTTTTTTGATCAAGAGATTAATATGAAGGAGACAAATGTAACCTTTTCAGTGAACGGGGTAACCTTAGAATACACTATGGCACCCAGGTGGATAGAGGACTTGTCAAGTTTCGTGCAAGAACCTACCATGGTAAGATAAACCCGCTGTTGATTTGGCAACATAATGACTTACAATAATGCCAATTTTTGTTGGAAATATATTAGGTACCATATACAGCCATGCCTAGTCAGTTTACCAAGTTAATAGTCAACATCAATGATTCGTCGATCGATTATAAACCCGAAAACATCGCGTCACGTATAGTGTTTGTAGTAGAGAACGTAAAGGTATTCATCGTCTGTTTAGGCATACAACTTTGTTTAGCTGTTGAGATCACATCTTCTTTCTGTAGGTTTCAAGCAGTATAATTCCTGATTCTCCGACGTTTTCATGTAAACTGGTAGTACGAAATATGGACCTAATGATTATTGATGATGTAAAGAGTTTGAGCGACCGCAGAATTAACAGAGTTACCAGTAGTCCGTTAGACGTGAAAACATATTGGAAGGTAACTATTCAATAATAGGAATTTCTTGTATGTCCTATTTTCTAACGCATTGGGTATTTTAGGAAATGGGTTTCGCTCATGCTGCCGCCCTAGATTTCGCTGCGATAGCAGCACGAGTTAATAAAGGGAATATACATCCCAACCTTGAGGTAACGTTAGAATACTTAAAAATGCACTACGATCTTCATTATTTTCGTATTCATTAAATTTTTACGAATCACGGTTCCAGCTTGAGCTCACAGACGAAAATTTAACAATTGAAACATGCGCCGATACCTTTCAAACAATACTTCAATTGCTGAGTCATCTATCAGCCACTTTCAACGCAACAGATAAGAAGTAAGATCTTGATCTTGATTTCCTAAAGTGACATTATAAGTTCCAACAAGTAATACTATTTCTAAATTCCAGGGATAAAAAAATTGCCGATCCAATGACAAGTATGTCGGTAGGCGATGGGATAAATGAAGCATTAGCAGAAAGCATATTTGGTATGTACGGCAAATATTCATGGTTTTTAAGATATAATGGAGGGACTCTCAACATTTTTTTTCTTTTTCGGATGGAATAGACGAAGATGCTTTCAAGTATCCGAAGCCAGAGGCGATGGAATCAAACCCACCCGAAAATAATTCAAAACTAGACAATTCGAAGCAGGATGTTATCTACTTTGATGAGAAATTTTTTGAGAAAGATGGGCTACCAGATAGGCCTGATCATAATGATCAAGTTTTTGAATCTAAGGCCGTCGTTAGAGAGTTCGATGGAGGTAAGGACGAAAGCCAAGATTGAAGTTCTTTTCGTTAGATGAAAATAATTTTAATATAATTTGTACTAGGCCTCGAAGATTCTGAAAATGTAAGAGGTCGCGAAGGCTCCGAATGTAAAATAACATGGACGACACCTTACGAAATTAAATACGATGAAAACCATTTTGCTGCACCAACTGCCAGCGAACTTGAAGCAGTTGAAGGGTTAGATATTGTTCATTCGTTTAATAGTGTATATATTTGTTCGACTTACATTGGTTCCCTCTAAACAGACTAAAGAGCCGTATTCGGATACGAGACTTCAATGTCATATGGAAGCTATATGATGGATATGATTGGGACAGCACTCGAGCGGAAGTATTGGATAGACTTGCACTTGCCAAAGCTCAAGCTAAAATACTTGCTGAAGCATCTAAAGATACCGGAGAAGAGATGAATAAGGCCGTGAATACCGAGACGAGTAGTTTCTTCGAGCAGATGACAGGAACCCCATTCAGACATTCGGATTATGATATCTTTTCTCAAGCGACTTCTGAGGATTTTATGGATGATCATAGTGACACAGCCAGTCAGTTCAGTAGCAAAACAGACACGGATAATCACTATGGAAGAGAAGAGAGACGATCGAATCCTATTCGCCGTCCCACTCGTCCGAAGCTGAGTCGATCGCGATCTAGCAAATTAGATATAGTATTGGAGAAAGTATCTTTAGATTTTGATTCATTTCCAGAGGATGATCAAGTAGCCTTTCGCTTGCTTGTATCCGTTAAAGAGATCGAAATTCTTGACAAGATTAAAACTTCTGGGTGGGGTAAATTTATGTCACACATGCGATCAGCCGATGATAGGAACTTGTGCGAGACCAAATCCAAGATGGTTCGGGTAGAGTTGAAAAGTGTTCGCCAAGAGCTGAAAAATGTTCGCCAAACTCCATCCGATTCAGAAGAGCTCAGATTGAAAGTGAGTGTATATGCGCCATTTAATTGTTTTTCGTTCATTCGTATACGACTATTACTTATTCTAACATAACACAGGTTCGGCTGTTACCATTGAGATTCCACATCGATCAAGATGCTCTCAACTTTTTGATTCGTTTTTTTTCATTCCAAGATCGCTCTGACCGCACGTCTAATACAGAAGACGATACCTATTTTCGTAAGTATTTTTAGACTCACTATTATGAGATACTATCACCACATCATGTTGATCGCCTTCGTATATCTACAGAGTACTTTGAAATAGAGCCAGTTGTCATGAAAATAGACTACAAACCCAAACACGTTGATTATACGAATCTGAAGGGGGGAAATCTTGTGGAACTGATGAATTTCTTCCATTTGGAAGCTGCTGAAATGACGTTAAGAGATGTCAAGCTTACTGGAGTATGTATAGCTTTTGTCTTGTTGCATTTAAACTCCATAATTTCTCATGCTGATTTCAAAACCCTCATTGGTAAGGTTAAAGGATGGCAGCGACTAATTGAAGATTTGGGCGCCGCTTGGTTGCCTCATATTACCAATACACAAGTGCCCAATGTGCTGTCAGGAGTAGCACCCATTAGGTCTCTAGTTAATATAGGTTCTGGAGTAGTTGATTTGATATTGCTTCCTGTTGAACAGTACAAGAAAGATGGCAGAATCATCAGAGGTACATTTTTTTTGTGATGGGTTTATTGACGGGTTTAATGCTCGTAACTATATGTTCTGACATATAATTGTGTGATAGGATTACAGAAAGGGACTCAATCATTTGCAAAAGCGACGACAATGGAAGCTATTAAACTGGGGACTAAATTAGCTGTGGGAACGCAAGTAATGCTGGAGCATGCTGACGAGATACTGTCGTTCAGCTCCGATGATAACAGTGGCCGTGGTGGTCGTGGAGCAAGCATGTCAATGGCAGCAAACGAGGATGATAGCGATGACGACAATAAAGAAGGGAAACCAAGTAAATATGCACATCCACCAGCCGATATTAATGAAGGTAATCATACGTTTTTGTTTTCTTGTTCAAGTCATTTTTGTGGCGTACGCTCAAACATAGGATTATGTTCAAAGGTATTGAAGCTGCCTATAAGAGTCTCCGACAAAACATTGGCACAGCCGCACATACTATATTCGCTGTACCAATGGAAGTATATGAAAAGACTGGAGCGCAAGGAAGCGCTAAAGCGGTCATAAAAGCTGTTCCAGTTGCTGTACTGAAACCTATGATAGGCGCATCAGAGGCTGTATCCAAAACTCTTCTTGGACTACGCAACACCATTGATCCTAATCAGAAACTGGAGATGGAGGATGTAAGTTAATAATATATCTATTGTCTTTGGACATATCCTTTGTATACTGATTTCTCTTTTCTGTTACAGAAATATAAGCGAAGAACGTAGAGTATCATAGAAGTAATGAATGGTTGATAGAAATGGACATTGGTTCTCTTATTAAATACATATTTTTATAGATTATTGGTTGCAACAGTTGATCGTTATCTGTACAATAAAATATATTTATACCGTCTAATGCAAGTCCACAAGAACAGTATCAGCTCTCCATACAACGGGTGGACAAAGTATTGGGCTTTCGTGTGTTCATAACATTTTAATTGACACACTGTTTAAATTGAGACTGTTCAAGTTGATGCCAATAGAAGCTCGGAATATGGTTTTTACATACATTATCCCGATCGAGCTGAAATTTTATACTATTACTATGGGAACATATCAGACGAAAAGAGCAAATTAGAAAATTTTGCAGGTGGACCTTGATTAACACAAGAACAATATTGTTATTATTGCTCAGATTCTCGGCCAGAAGATATGAACGGAGTAGTTCTTGGCAAATACAGTTAGCACACTTGTGTTTGGCGAATATGCGTTGTTAACTTGCATCGTTAAGACTATGCAGCAATATATCGTAAAGAGTGGTGATAGATCCTCGAGGGATATGAGTGGATTGATGATTTATCACTCCATCGATAAGCAGTGAAATGAACTAACGTTTTAGTTCTTACAGGTGTCAGAAATTTTCTTCAATTTTGAGCAGGCGTGGATCTGTTTTTATCGCATCCTTGTCTGCACTAGTCTATCAAGGTTTTAAATCCAATGTCCAAATCACGGTGCAAGAAAATCTTGCCTGAAAATTGATCGAATGTAACTATTACTATGCATTTTATTCAGGAACAGGTTCTCGATATTTACTTTGCGTTGTGAATAAAAGTTACGCGATACTCGATCTTTACTTTGTGTTCAAAGACAGTTAATAGTAAATGGTGCGCGATTTTACCTGTTACTCAACTATATTAACAATTTGGAAGAGGAGTAAATCCGTGAATTACAAGTTTATTCAAAAAAGAGTTTGAGTCTCTAAGTTATAAGAAATAGGCGGTGTTAACATTGTTCATTTGTATCAACATATAACTGCATACCTGCGGCTGAATCCAAATCATTGCTATTTCTTGGTTTAGGTAATCCTCATGTAGGTAAGAGCGTACTAGAGTATTTACTTTCCTTTTCGAGACGTGATAAAGGTTTTACGTTGTTATGATAAATGGTAGGCCATGCATTGCTGTCAGAATCATCCTTGTCAACCTTTCTAATAAGCTTGCCAATATCCATCCAAAGTGTCCATGAATTTGGACGCATATCTGGTGCGGAATCGGACATCGATGGTCGTAGTCCGTCCATAATAAATCTTTATCGAACTGCCTATCTCGAAAAGGTGGTTCACCGGTGGCAATTAAATACATAATAATACCAAAAGAATATATGTCTGATTTCTGTGTAAATTTGCAAGTATGGAAGACTTCTGGTGCAATAAAGGGTAAAACGCCTCGAATGGTTGACTTTGACTCACACGAATTCACCGATTGAGAAAGACCAAGATCACATATGAATGAGTGACTTTGTTGAGTCTCGAATTCATTGTCATGCAAAACTATGTTTCCGCCATGAAGATCACGATGCACTAATCTCGCTCTACGAATATTATCCAGATAATATGCAATATTCCTCAAATGCTGTAATTTACGTCAATATTTTGATCCAAATAAGACAAAAGATTACCATTGTTAGCATATAATGTACTTTTTTGTTTTGTAACTCCATAAATTTTAAGGAAACGTTTGTACACTTGGCATGATGTCTGAACTGTTAAATACAGTGTCAAATTAAATATCACTTTAATTAATATAATTACAGTGAACCCTCTCTAATATCAACCCCACGAGACCGGCCAATTTCGTTGATATATGCGGAGTTGGATATCATAGGGGGTGTTAGGGTTTTAAATAATGACGTCATATGTAATGATATTAAAAATCTCTTTATTTTTTTCTCTATATAAACTAAACCAATTTGTTCACCTCTTATGAATTGTGGTTCTCTCTCTCTTTGATGAAAAAATCCGTTAACTTTTTTTGTTGCCTCGCCTCGTATATATTCGATTGAATGCGTCGCAACAGACTTTGCAATCTTGGCCTTCTACGAATTTGCTGCTCTACATACTGCAGAAGTAATTTGCATGCCGTAGAATGAGAAATTTTTTCGATTTCAATGTCGCTGTCTTCGTTACAGCTATCAGAATTGGACGCGTGGAGTATGTTTATACTTTAGTATACAATAGGATTATAATAATAAAGAGACATTACGTAGTAATACGTGATATTGTAGATCAAAATTTTAAATTTTAAAATACTAATTTATATTGATGTTGATATCAGCGAGGTACATTTAATTAGGAATAATGTGTTGATAGGGATATCAACGGGGTATGATATCCAAATTGATATATGCGGGAGAATTTAAATATGGGGAGATCTGTTCTGTAACCACTGTTGCTAATAGTAATTAAGATTGCAGAGACGGTTTTTTCCTTGATTCCGTTGTGTAGGTTTTTTCTCCTTGTCAAGACATAGTTGACGTCTCTGTGCATTTGTTAAAGATATTCTTTTAATAATCTTATTGCTAGGCATTTCGTATAAGAGCCAAGTGCTTTAATATTAATTAACATTAAATATCAGTTTTATACCCAATTTAACCAACCAATCATATTGAGTTTGACCCTCATTGTCCTATTGGTGGAAGCCATATTTCCATTATAGACAGATTCATCAGAATTCCATAACGCGATTCTATGAGAATCCATTATAACAAGCAATTTTTAATATAAGAAAATTGTGTTCCAAAAAATTTTCTCTTGTAATGCGATTCCTTTATAACATGTATCTGTTATAACGAGCTTCGACTGTATAGGGCTTTATTCTCTTCCTCTGTATGTATTGTAGATAGATAAAAACAGCTCAAACTGGGCACCTAAAAGAAATTGGGTCATTTTTTAATCCCCCAAATATAAACGACCAATAATCAACGAGTAGACCTTATCTAATTTCTGGCAGTCTGGGACAAGTTATATCGTTATAAAAATTATCGGCAAACCTTTCTTGCTTCATTATACAGATATGTCTGCCTTATGACTTGTAAGTACGGACAGGAAAAAGAACCTCTGTAACATGTCCCGCTTCATTTCACAAAATAACGTCTGATTGTAAGCTTACGTACGTTCGCAAAAGTAACGAATGGAATTTTTCGAGACGCAAAAACAACTCTGCGAAACCCAAGCGGATATTCATGCAGTTTCCATCGATCCTGGCGTTCATACACTCTTCACATGGTACTCTCCCACTAAAGGCGTAGGTAAAATTGGCCAATACGACATTGGACGAATTATTCGCCTATGCA